ACTCAGATCCTGCGTGGCTGCCTGCCAGACTCCTGTTGCCTTCCTCCTGGGCCTTGCCCACGTGACATGAGCAGGGTTGCCCAATGGTGCCTTGGCTCCAGACATAGCCAATGTAGCCCTGCTGGGCGCCGCCTTGCACTTCTGCGTGAGCACCTGTCCAGCAGGAGTCAATGAGGCGGCAGCGGCGGCAGCAGCGGCAGCAGCACGGGTCTGGCAATGTGCACCAACAACTTCTGCTGTTGTCAATGCAGCAGCAGGAGCAGAGCTGCTGCTGCTGCCGCTTGCCGTGCTGCAGATCCGGCTGCGGCTGCTGGTGCTGGTGTTGCTAGCCCCAGCCTTGTCCTCATTGGCCCTGGCCTTGTCCTTGTCACCTTGAACGAGCCCACAATGAAGGTCACTTGCTCCACACGCCGTGATTGCTTTGAGTAGACCCGTCTTGGTAGACGGCCCTGTTGTGCTTGCCTCCCGCTCCCGCCTCATCACACCCCATTGCTCCCGCACATTGTTGCCCACGCGGCAGGCGCCGTCACCACCGCCGCCGGCCGCCTCTTGCCGGCAGCCTTGCACTCAGCCGGCCCCGCGCATGGCATGGGAGACTGGGTATGCTGATTATGCGCGTCGTGTGTGTACAGGTGCTCGCTGCGGGGGCGAGGCAAGCGAAGGGGGCTGTTGCTCATGCGGCCGCGGTGCCGGCCTTTGCGCGGTAGCTCTGCGCATCGGTTGTCACCGTCGGGTCGCCGCGCTCGCCCGCGAGCAGCGTCTCGACCGATGCCTCGTCCTGCGCGGCGCCGACGAAGGCCTTGCGCCGCCGCAAGTCGTCTGCCGCCCGCGTCGGCGATGGCTCGGTCGCCGTCGCTGATGAAGCCGCCTGCTTCTCCCCCGCACTCGCATCGGCCTGCTTGCCGTACGTGCCGCGCTTCTCGAGGCTCGCCTGCTTGAGCTTGGCGAAGCGCTCGGCACCCATGCGCGTGCCAAAGAGCACGTCGAAGTGCACAAAGAAGGGCTGCGAGAAGTTGTAGCGCAGGCCCTGCATCTGGTGGTGCACGTCGTGGTACTCGGCGTTGTTGGGGAAGAAGAGGTGCAGCGGGTCGAGCCAGACGGGGAACGCATAGCCGCCGTGGTCGCAGACGGTCTTGTACGTCGAGAAGGTGAAGAGCAGGATGCCCTGCCGGACCGTCATGCGCGCGCAGAGGTGCGCCAGTGCGCCGCCCGCAGAGTCGAGCAGCAGTCCTGATGCGATGCGGTGTGAGCACAAGCTGGCCCGGGGGGCGGGAAAGCGAGGCGAGCGCGAAAGCGAAGAGCGCAGAGTCGAAGCTTACATCGCCGCCGCGCAGCTCTGCACCGCTCTGCTGCCTCGGCCGCACCACAACGCCGCTCGGACTCACCTTCGACGGGGTGGTTGTAGAGCGCGCCGAACGCGTACGGCACGTACAGCCGGTGGTGGTGCGAGTGGAAGTGGCGGTAGAGGAAGCGCGACTCGTGGAAGAGGCGGTGCAGGCCGTACTGCCAGGCGTCCATGACGAAGCTGGCGAGAGGCGTGTCAGCGAGTGGCGAGGCAGGCGTGAGGGCGCCGGATGTGTTGCTCGACAGGCCGACGCGGCACTAAGAGTCATCGAACACGCTACAGCGAGCGTGGCGCTGCAAGACAGGCCACACTGCCAGCGACATCTCTCGCCCTCACTCGCTTCACGGTGCGGCGACTCACAAGGCCCAGGCGAACTGCAGCGCCGGAATGCCCCACCAGTACAGCCAGGCGGCGAGGCGCGGCGCGGCGGCGGCCGAGGCGTACGGCGCCACGCGCAGCGCCATGCGTGCCACGGCGCCGTCGTGGTCGGCAAAGACCTGTGCGCGGCCCACGTCGTCGCCCTCGAGCGCCAGCATGCCGACGGCCGTCTGCAGCACCTGCTGCACGGCGACCATGGCGGCGACGCGCGCCGGCGACACGCGGTTGCGCGCCGTGACCTCGGCGGGCTCGTGCAGGCGGAAGCGCTCGAAGAACGGCAGCGCCAGCGCGTCGAGCACGAAGAAGCCCAGCGACGCCAGCCAGTACACGGCGATGGGCAGCAGCAGCGCCGCGTGCTTGTCGGAGAGCGGCGCGAGCAGCTCGGCGCGCGGCGCGTGGTACCACGGCGCAGTGCCGGCGAGGGGCGCTGCGGCGCGGGTGGCCGCGGCGGCGAGGGTGGCGTTCATGCCCATGTCGTGAGAGGGAGTGAGGGTGCGGAGGCAAGGAGCAGCGAGCACCGGGCACGGCGAGCAACACACGCCGGCGCAGCACAACTGAGCTCACTTCACGCCCGCCGCCGGCTGATCTGGCCCGCGGCATCTCGAGTGGCGAGGTGGCGCGCTGCTGAGGTCAGGGTCCGGCGCGCCGCACGTGACGCAGATGGGGCGCCAGCTCCGCGGGACTGGCGGCGGCGCTCCTCTACTCCCGCCCCCCCAACCCCCTCGCGAATGCAGCGCATCGCCATCATCGGCGGCGGGCCCGCCGGCGTCTCGGCCGCGCTCGAGCTGCTGCGCATCCGCGGCAGCAGCAGCAGCAGCAGCAGCACTGCAGCGCCGCTCTATGCGCCCACGCTCTTTGAGCGCCGGCGCGCGCCCGGCGGCGTGTGGACGTACGAGGAGCCGCAGGCGCAGCGCATCTGCTTCGACGAGACGGGCCAGGCGCACGCCGTCGCACGTACAATGGACGGCGCATGGCCGCCGGCGGGCATGTTCGAGGGGCTGCGGTGTGTATGCTGCAGCAGGTCAGACAGTCTGGTGCTGACGCCGGCCGCAGTACCAACATCCCCTCGGACCTGATGACCTTCCGCGACGCGCCCTTCGCGCCCAGCACGCCGCTCTTCCCGAGCCGCAGGCAGGTGCTCGACTATCTGCACGCCTATGCCGAGCAGCACCGCGAGCTGCTCGCGCCCGTCACGCGCTTCGGGACAGAGGTTGTGGGCATGCAGAAGCAGGGGAGCACCTGGTCGGTCACGAGCAGGCAGGGGCAGGACGAGCGGCAAGAAGTGTTCGACAAGGTCGTGGTGAGTCAGAGTGCCAGAGCGGGAGATGGCCCGCTGTGGAATGTCACTCTCGGCAGCCGCGAGATCGCTGCTCACCACTCCCCTGACAGATCGCGACTGGCCGCTGTGCCCGCCCGCAGCTGCCTTTCGTGCCCGGGCTCTGGCACTTCGCCGGCGAGATCTGGCACTCGAGCTGGTACCGCACGCCGCTCGTCTTCCGCAACAAGGTGCGTGTGACCTTTGGGAGCACCGCATGTGACACACTGACCTCGCCTCCAGACCGTGCTGGTGGTCGGCAATGCCAGCTCGGGCATGGACATTGCGCGCGAGCTCAGCGGCTACTCCCTGCGCCCGCTACCAGCCGGGCCGTTGAGCGGCGACGAGGTCTCCGCCGCAGCCTGGGCCGAGGAGAGCGCTGCGGGGCGCACGGGCATTCGCGTGCTGCAGTCCGTCGAGGACGTCGAGAAGCCGCCGCCGATGGACTACGATCCGCGCGACCCCGCATCGCCGGACTGGGCACGTCGCATTCGCGTGGTGCCGCGCATCAAGAGCGTCGACGCCGAGGCCATTGAGCTTGCGGACGGCGAGCGACTGACCGACGTGGACGCCATCATCTTCGCGACTGGCTTCGTGGCGTGAGTTGAGACGAGCCTCGCCTCTTGCCTCCTGCTCACCCTCTCGCCTGCCAGCGAGTTCCCCTTCCTCCCGCCTGTGGCGCCCTTCGACTTGGCTCCACTGCTGCCAGCCGCACCCGAGCGACCACCCTTGCATGATGACAAGCTCGGCGCGCGCCTCGAGAAGCAAGGCGGGCCCTACCGCGCCCCTCCGGCTGCGCCAGTGCTCAATAATCTGGACGACTGGCTGCTCTTCTACGAGAAGGACGACAGCGTGGCGGTGCTTGGGTGCGTTGTGCTCGCCGAGAGTGGCGGTGATCGTCGCTGACACGCTGCGCAGTGCTCCGACGACCGTTGTGCCGTTCCATTTATCTCAAGCACAAGCTCGGTGAGACGAGCCTGTGCGCGTTCCCCTTCTTCGTGCTGACAATGCTGCAGCTACGTCGCTGCCTACTGGGCCGGCAAGGCTGCACCTCTGCCGCAGCTCGACAGCAGCATCCCGCCGACTGAAGCTGCGCGCTGGAGCTCGACGCGGCAGGCGGACCAGACCGAGACCTGGCCGCAAGGCCGCTGTGCCCACGTCTTCGGCAATCCGAGCGATGCAGCGTACGTCGACGAGCTCCTCGCACGCTCGCCAGAGGGCGGCGCCGAGGCGCCCTGGGACGTCGAGTACCGCGCGCAGAGCGACGGCCGCGGGGGAGGGCCGCGCGGTCAAGAAGACTGGAGCAAGACGCCGACGTGGCGACGCGAGCGGCGCAACAAGGGCAAGGAGCTGCGCCGCGAGGAGCTGGGCTACTAGTGACGGAGGCAATAGATTGTACAACATGGACGCCTGGCTGGTGATACAGATGCAAGCAGCGAGATCCGGTGACGACGTGACAAGTGGCAAGGCAGCTGCCAGGATATAGAGCAACAGCGCGGCACTCCCTTACGAGGCCTTTTCTTCGGCGCGCTCCGAGTCGCGCGCCTGGCGGTCCTCCTCGAGCCAGCCGGTGAGGTCGGGCGGGATCTCCTGCATCTGCACGCTCGGCGCGCCGTGCAGGTAGCGCAGCTGCTCGAGGCACTGCACGCGGATCTTCTCCAGGCTCGCCTTGGTGTTCTGGTTCTCGACGCGGCCCGCCTGCAGCGCCTCGTGCAGCCGGTGCGACGGCGCAAAGAAATCGCTGTACGGCGTCTCGGGCAGATTGTCTGGCACCGTGCAGGACGTCAGGACGGCCGTCTCGTACGCCCAGCAGCGCGCGACGTTGCGAATCGTGTAGCCGCCGCCGCCAAGCACGAGGAGCGGCAGACCAAACGACTTGACGAAGCGCACGCACTCGCCGTGCGCGGCGATGCTCAGGTTGAAGCAGCCGAGCCGGTCGAGGCCGAGCGAGTCGGCGCCGCACTGTAGCACGATGCTCTCTGGCCGGAAGCTCGTGATGCACGGCTCAATGACGGCCTTGAACAGCGACACATAGCTGCCGTCGTCGATGCCGTCCTGCAGCGGCACGTTGAGCGAGAAATGCTTGCCGAGCGACGTGCCGATCTCCGAGAGCGCGCCCGTGCAGGGAAAGAAGTCGTTGCCGAACTTGTGAAACGAGACGGTGAGCACGCGGTTCGAATTGTAGAACGCCTCCTGCACTCCGTCGCCGTGGTGGATGTCGATGTCGATGTATAGCACGCGCGGGTGGTATCTGCGAATGGAGGTGAGCGATGTGCGAGAGGCGGCCAAAGCGCAGGTCGACAGCGTCCTTCGGGCTGGCATCATTTTGCGCAGGGTGTTTGCCCTCGTGCGCTGCTATGCTCCCTCTCTCTTTCTCTCCTGGCCCAGCCCACGCCCGACCTGTCCGGCCGCACTTACCGCAGCAGCTCCATGATCGCCAGCACAATGTCGTTGACATAGCAGAAGCCCGACGCCTCGTTCTTCTTGGCGTGGTGCAGGCCGCCGCTCCAGTTGATGGCAATGTCCGTCTGCCCCGCGGTGAGCTTGCGCGCGCCCGCCAGACTGGCGCCCGCGTACGAGCGGCAGAAGTCGTACATGCCGTCGAACACGGGGCAGTCGTCGGCGAAGTTGAAGCGCGTGAAGGACGACGAGAGCGGCGTCGTCGGCGTGACTCTGCATAGCATGCTCAGCACCGCGCCGCGTCGGCTGCGTGCTCGTCACTCACTGGCTGAGGAACTCGACATAGTCCGAGTCGTGAAACCACTCGAGCTCCTCGCGCGTGGCAACGCGCGGCGTGTAGCAGCTCATGCGCTGGTGCAGCCCGTAGCCCAGCACGAGCCGGTTGGTGAGCGTGAGGCGCGCCGGCTTCATCGGATGCCGCTCGCCGTAGTGGTACCTGCGCCGGGGTCAGCAGGACGTCATGAGGCGGCGCTGTCGCTCAGGAGCTCCCCTCGTGCTGGCTCTCCGGGGCCTTCACTCACTCGCCGACACCCTTGGGAAAGTAGTACGAGACACGCTCGCGCGCATGCGGCTGCACGTGCGGCGCATCGGCGGGCGTGGCGAGGGCGCTGGGCGCGAGGCTGGGGTCGAGGTAGTAGAGCGGCGAGTCGTCGGAGCGCAGGCAGCCGCTGCTGCTGCCCGACGCATGCGCCGCCGCACCGCTGCCGGCGGCGCGCGGCGCATCGTATGCGAGCACGACCATGGCAGGCGAGCGGGGATGCGCGAGGAGGGAGATGGAAGTGGGAGGGAGGGGAGCGAGGCGGCGACGGTGCCGCGGTTTCAAGCACCGCCGGCTGAATACAACAGCGCGCCAAGCCGCGCCCGATTTTGTAGTGCCGCGTCTCGCGCGAGAAATTTGGGCCAGCCGCAAAGCTTCGCGCTCGCTTCCTCTCCGCTCACCACCACCTCCTCCTGTGTCCAGTGCCACTGCCGCTCTGCGCCATGCAGTCACTCGCGCTGTCGCAGAAGCTGCGCTCGCTGGCGCTGCTGCCGCGGCTCACCGCCACCGCGCAACCGCCGCCACACTGCTGCCGCTGCGGCGCCTCCACCTCGCGCGCCCTCAGCTCGTCGGCCAGCGCGGCAAAGGCAAAGGTCGGCAGCTTCCGCAATGCAAAGTGGGACGCCAAGGAGGTCGAGCGCGCACGCCTGGCGCCCATGGTCGAGAAGAAGAAGGAGCGCGACACGAAGCGCCGCGGCAAGCTCATTGAGCGCCTCGCCGCGCAGGGCATCGAATACCAGCCCGGCTTGCGCCGCAAGCACGACGAGCAGGAGGAGCAGGACGACGAAGAGGCGCCGCCGCCGCCGACGTTCCTGCCGCGGCCCAAGAAGAAGGCGCCGGATCCGAGCGAGCCGAAGCTCGGCAAGCTGCCCAAGGCGCAGCTCGGCAAGAAGACGCCCGTCGTGCCCTCCACACTCGCCTTGCCGCCGTACATTACGGTGGCGCACCTGGCGAAGGCATTGGGCATGCGGATGCGTGAGTGCCGCGGGTGCTGAGCTGAACACATGCGCATAGCTCATGCATTCCTCGCCAGGCTCGCTGCAGGCAACCATGTCCAAGTCCGGCTTCACTGATCTGCGGCCCGACTTGCTGCTCAGCTTCGACGACGCCGCGCTGCTGTCCGCCGAGTACGGCATGGACGGCGTGCCGCTCGATGCCTCCTCTGCCGACTACGACATCTACCCGACGCCGCCGCTCGCTGCCGAGCAGCGCTCCGGCGCGCCACTGCGGCCACCAGTCGTGACCATTATGGGGCACGTCGATCACGGCAAGACGACGCTGATGGACAAGCTGCGGAGCGCCAGTGTGGCCGCCGGCGAGGCTGGTGGCATCACGCAGCACATCGGTGCGTTCTCCGTGCCTGTCGCATCGCGCCGCAACGCAGACGGCAGCCGCGACACGAACGCTGCCGCATCGTCAGAGGGCGTGGTGGACACGGTCACATTCCTCGACACACCTGGCCATGCAGCGTTCAGCGCTATGCGCGGGCGCGGCGCAGCTGTGACGGACATCGTGGTGCTCGTCGTTGCTGCAGACGACGGCGTCATGCCGCAAACGCGCGAAGTCATCGAGCTCGTCGAGTCGCTACGCGAGGAGGAAGAGACGAGCCAGCTCAAGCGCAATGCCGAGGCCAAGACGGAGGGCGAGGCGAGCAAGCAGGGCGGCCTGCAGCTCGTCGTGGCCATCTCCAAGACGGACAAGCCTGACGCCGAGCCAGACCGCGTGCGTCGCGAGCTGCTCGCGGCGGGTGTGCAGCTCGAGGAGTTCGGCGGCGACGTGCCGTGCGTCGAGGTCTCGGGCAAGACGGGCGCCGGCCTGCCCGAGCTCGAGGAGACTCTGGCAGCCCTGGCCGAGATGGCTGACCTGCGTGCCGAGCGCAAGGACGTGCCGCCAGAGGGCTTCATCATCGAGAGCAAGGTCGACAAGGCACGCGGCACGACCGCCACTGTGCTCGTCAAGCGTGGCTCTCTCGGCGTCGGCGACGTGATCGTCGCTGGGCGGGCCTACTCCAAGGTCCGCGCGCTGCTCGACGCCGGCGGCCGGCCGATCAAGGGGCGCGCCATGCCCGGCGACCCTGTCGTCGTGACTGGCTGGCGCAAGCTGCCCAAGGCCGGCGACGAGGTGCTGGGCGTCTTTGACTCTGCCGACGGCACGCAGAAGGCCGAACAGCTGGCGAAGAAGGCCGTCATGACGCGCGACCGCGTCGAGGAGCGGCGGCGGCACGGCCTCGACGTAGAGAGCATCAACGAGAACCGCCGGCAGCTGGCGGCCAAGGAGGAGCTCAAGGCGCGGCGCGAGTTCGAGGAGCGCAAGCGCAAGCGCGAGCTGCGCGAGGCCGAGGCCGCCGGCGTGCAGGTGTCGGCGGAGGAGTACGAGGCGACGCTGGAAGCCGAGTCGGAGGAGGCCGCCGCCGATGCCGACGTCAAGGAGCTGCGCCTCGTCGTCAAGGCCGACTTCAGCGGCACGATTGAGGCCGTCGTGGGCGCCATCTCGGGCATCGGCAACGCCGACGTGCGCGTCAAGATAGTCAGCGAGGGCGTCGGCGAGCCGACGGACGGCGACGTGGCCATGGCGCAGGCCGTCGGCGGCCACGTGCTGGGCTTCAACGTCAAGGCGTCGCGCGGCGTGCTCAACGTTGCGGCGCGCAGCATCCCGCCGGTGCAGGTGCACTGCGACGACGTCATCTACCGCCTCATGCAGCACGTCTCGAAGCAGTGCGCCGAGCTGCTGCCGCCGACGATTGAGACGCGCGTGCTGGGCGAGGCGACGATTGCGCAGGTCTTCAAGATCAACACGCAGGGCCGCCAGTTCCGCAACGTTGCCGGCTGCCGTGTGGTCAACGGCTCCATCACTGCCAACGCCACGGTGCGCGTGCTGCGCGGCGGCGGCGGCGGAGCCGATGCCGACGGCAAGACGGACGCGCGCGAGGTTGTGTGGAGCGGCAAGCTCGACTCGCTCAAGCAGGGCAAGAAGGAGGTCGACGAGATCCGCAAGGGCACCGAGTGCGGCCTCTCGTTTGAGGGCTTCGAGGGCTTTGAGGAGGGCGACACGGTGCAGAGCTTCAGCACCGTCGAGGTGCCGCGCTCGCTGTGAGCGCGTGGGGGCGACAGGCGAGGAGAGATAATATTACACCACTCAGTCACGTCGGAGAGCAGAAAGAGCTGCGAGCATGCTCAGCACGCTGTGAGCTTGACACAGCACGACACGGTGCGCATGGGGTGCCACCAGACGCGCAGCAGATCGGGCGACGAGATGTGCACCTGCGCAGGTGTGTACTGTCAGCGGGAGAGCTTGCGGGCACACGCGCGCTACTCACGATGCAAGCGACCCAGCCGGGAAAGAGGAAGCCCTCGTCGGCGAGACGTCCATGGCCAGGACAGGCGAGGCCCGGGCTGCGCTCCGTCTCCTGGCTCGAGCCGGGCGCCGCCGGTGCGCGGTACGGCCAGGGCGTGTGGCAGCGCACGGTCGGCGGCGGCGCACACCACGGCGTCGCCACGCGCGCCGGGTCGTCGACGAAGGCGCGGAAGCTGAGCTGGCCGCGCGGGATGTGCAGGTCGCCCGTGACCTTGATGGCCTCGACGACGCGCACGCCGACGCGCACGGCGGCGCGCTGGATCTGCGTGTCGTGGTAGATGGCATCGGCGGAGAGGCGCGGCTCGAGACGCTCCTTGAGCGCCGGGTCGTCGACGAAGTCGTCGGCCGTGAGGATGCGCGAGCGGACGTGCAGCACCTCGACGCCCCATGGGCCGAACTCCATCGCCCACAGGCCCTCGATGGAGCTCCAGTCAAAGTCGGGCAGCGCAGGGTCGAGCCCGGGCGGCGGCGGGAGATGCTCGTACTCGACGCCGGCGCCTGGGCTGCGCAAGGGCAGCCGGCGCGGCGGCGGAACACTCGGCGTGCGAGGAGGACTGACCAGCGGCGAGAAGGTCAGAAGGGCGCCGTCTCCTGGCGGCCTTGTGGTGCGCGGGCCACAGAGACGCGGCGGCAGGGGCGACATGCGCATCTTGAGCGATGGATGGCGCAGAGCTGCCCGCACAGCGCTCGAGGGGAAGGGCAGCGGCGGCCGCGGTGTGCCGCGTGCCTCGTGCACATCGCTCAGCGCATCGCCGATCTGGCGCTCGCTCTGCTCCAGCGCACGAAGTGCCTCGCTGCTTGGCTCTCCGGCGCCGTGCAGCGTCTGGACAAGCATGCGGCCGTGCTGCTGCGCCTCAGTCGGCTCGAGCGGCGAGCTGGACATGGCGCGCGAGGCGGGCCAGAACAGATGGCGCTGGCCCTCCCGATACAAATCGAGCACGCCGGACGCCTCCTCCGCCTCTGGCGCCTCGCCGGTGGAGAAGCAGCGGCGCGGCTCAGCACGCCACTTCTCGCCAGTCGAGCGCGCAGCACAGATGTCGCTCCAGCGCAGCGTCCACAGCGTGCACGTCTTGACGCTCGGCAGCACGAGGTCGACGTCGGAGTGGGCGCGCAGCTCGGAGCCCTGCGGCGAGATACGTGCGCCGACGGGCATGCGGAAGCTGTTCACGGCCGCCCACGAGGCGTCGTCGGCGTGCGCCGGGTCGCCCTCGTTGTCGGACGGCACCAGGCCTTCGAGGCGGTTGACGGGGTATAGCTTCTGCGCCACGAATGCCGGGCCGGGTACTTGAGCAGACGAGCTGCTCTCGGCGTCGGCCGAAGCAGGCAGTGCCTCGTCGTAGGCCGCGTCGAAGACGACGCGCATGACATAGCCGTACGTCGGCAGCTCGGCGGCCCACCAGCCGAGCATGTGTGCCCAGGGGCGCACAAACGTGCCCCACACCTCGTGCAGCGACGCCGCCTCGGGGAAGGTGGCGAGCGCCCAGGCATGCTTGGCGCTGAGCGGCGGCAGCACAGCCTCTGCATCGGTGCGCGTTGGCAGCCAGCGCTCGGTGCCGACGGTGCGGAAGCGTGCGTCGCTCGGCTCAGGCACGCTGGCGAGCGGGATGGGCGTGAGGGTGTGCGAGTGCGCCGGCGGGCTGCGGCGCAGCGCTGCGGCGACGTGCTCGGCCCAGAGCGCGTCTGCGCGCGCCAGGCTGCGCAGACGAGAGGAGGTGCGAGCCAGCGCATGCAGCGAGGCGGCATCGAGCTGCGCGGCAACGCAGAAGAGCAGCTCGGTGGGCAGCGCACAGAGGCCGTGCGGCGCCGGCGCCGCGACGGGCGCCGTCATGCTGTGCGGGCAGAGAGGGCTGGCTGCCTGCTGGCGGCTGCGTGTCCTGGCGGCGTGCGTGCGGTGCTTGCGGGTTGATGTGGTTGCGAGGCAGGCGGCGCGGCGGACCCTCGGGCGGCCTGTCATCAGATAAAGTGCCGACCCAAGGCGGGCGTGTCTTGCATATGTGGAGAGCGGCCGGCGGCTCCGAGTCCGAGAGTCCGCCGCGTCCGGCGTCTGGCTCGACTCGGCGGCGCCATCTCGGCATCCTGCAGCGGCATATCGCCGCGCCTGTCTGCGCACACGACACGGCCTCCTTCTCGTGCTGCGCCTTGCGCTGCGACACACTCCCGCCTTGCATCGGTCATGCCCTCGCTTGCCCGCACGTCGTTGCGCCGCTGTCAGCGCTGCCGAAGAAGGGCGGAATTGCGCTTGGCCGAGGGGCGTGGGCGTGGCGGAGGCTGACAAACGCGGCTGGGCGAGCATGGACTCGCACGAGAAGATTCGCGCGTCGCTCCCACGCCCGCTGCCTCGTCTCGCGCGCTGACCTTCAACTTTTGCCCCTCGCGCCTCCGTTGCTCTCTCCACCACCTCCTTCCCGGCCTGCCACCATGCGCGCCACCTCGGCCCGCCAGCTCAAGCTGCAGCTCGTCGAGCGGCTGCGGCCCACCGACGTCGTGCCGTCGCGGCTGCTCAAGGCCGCCTCGGCCGCACAGGCCGCCGCCGCCGCTGCGGGCCCCACGGCGACGCCCGCGGCGCAGCGGGCGCCGCGCGAGCAGACGCTGGCGCAGCAGCTGCTCGCGCGCCAGGCCGCCCAGCCCGACACGTGGCCGGCGAACCTGCGCATCGAGCCGCACACGCCCAGCAAGGAGCTCTACTGGAACGTGAGTGGCGCGAGAGGGTAGGGGCAAGGGAGCATGTGCACACGGGGCGCGGCGCAGACATGGCTGCGACAGGGTCGCAGCAGCGAGCAATGCCGCATCTCTGCGCACCGGCTGTGCTGCTTGCTGGCCGGCCCGGTCGCGAGTCCCAGCGTGGCGGCTGCTACGGAGCGAAGAGACCCAGAGTGCTGTGCGGCCGCGCTCCGTTATGCAGGCAGCTCAGACAGGATAAAGTCTCTTTCGTCGCTCGCGCCTGCCGCTCGCCCACCTCTGCGTGCTCTGCGGGCAGCCGTACTGGCAATTCCGCCCTCTCGGACCGCCTGCTGACCCACGCGCGCTCCTACTGCAGGTCCCGGGCGAGCAGCGCGAGCAGCTGCGCAAGCTTCTGCGCGAGAAGTAGAGGCACAGCGACGGCGCGCACAGGATGCATGAGAGATGTCATTGCGGAAATGTGGGCTCTGGGCGATGCGAATGGAGACAGGCGGGAATGAGGTGGGCTGTGGTCGGGAATGAGAGAGGGGAATGGGTGGGTCCGGGAGAGGGATCGCAGGGCGGCATCAACGGGAGCTGGGAATGGTAGGAGGATGCAGTGTGGGGGCCAGGAGGGCTGTAGCGAGGATGCTCGAATGAAATAGGCAGCGCACCAAGCGTGGCGCGATGGATAAGAGATGCAAAGAGACGGTGCGATGAGAGAGAGAGAGAGACGCGAGACGATGCAGCTCAGCGTGGCGCAGCCGACGTGGCCAGCCGGCCGCCGCCGGACTTGGACTTGCGAGCCGCTGCGCCGCCGCGTGGCGGCCGCTCAGGCGTGTGCGGCGATGCGCGCGGGCGATGTTCCCACTTGAGCGAGTCGGAGCTGGGCGCCGCACCGCCGTTGCTTGCTCCGTCGGCAGGGGGCGCGCGGAAGAGCGCCTCGAGCTCGGCGCGCGCCTTTGTCGTCGAGGGGTCCTGGTACACGATGCAGATGCTCTCGACGGCCGCCGTGCTGCCCAGCTCGTCCGAGCCCCGCACGCGCGGACTGGCGACGTCGGCATCGCCATCGGACGCTGCGGCATGCTGCCATTCGCCGTGCTGCTCCTGCTCGCGCCGGCCGCCCGGCGGCTCGCTGCCCTCGGCGCGCTGCAGCTTCTCGGGACTGATGCTGACGCTGCGCGGGCCGCCCGAGGCGGCGCGCCGGCCGCTGCGCACGCGCGGCGGCGCTTTGCCCTTGGACTTGACGCGCGCCATGGGCAGCGCACTCGACGTGCTCGGCCGCCGCGGACGCGTCTGCAGCAGCCCGATGACTTCGGCGGCGCCCTGCTCGTTGACGTACGTCGCCTGGTCCATCGACTGGTCCCACGCGGCGCGCTGACTCGGCGCCGTGCCAGAGGGAGACGTGACGGCTGGCAGGGGCGCAGCAGCCGCGGGAGCAGCGTTGGGTGCTGCGGCTGGTGCTGCAGGCGGAGGCAGTGGTCGCGGCGCAGGCGGCGCCATGCGCCCGTCGTTCTTGATCGCCTCGGGCTCAGCAACCTCGCTCATCGCCATGCTCTCGTCGCCCTTGCCTGCGTCCATGCTCACGGCCGCTGCCTGCGCCCTGCGCTGCTGCGACAGCGACTCGCTGTTGGTGATGTCGTTGCAGAGGCGCGACGTTGGCGGAAGCGCCGCTTGCGTCTGCGAGCCCGTGGTGTTGGACGGCGCAGCGACCGAGGCGGCGCCGTTTGCCGCTGCATTCGACGACGTCGACGAAGTACGCGAGGCGATGGGCGCGCCCGTCTCCCAGATGCCCGTCTCGTACGCCGCCCGCACGGCATCGACGTCGATCAGCGGCACCCCCCACTGCTGCGCCGCCTGCACCTTGATGTTCTCCGCGTTGGCCTGCGCACCGCCATTGCCGCAGAAGAGATGCGAGTACTTGAAGCGCTTGAACGACGAGGCCGTCGTGAGGCCCATCGACGCCAGCACGCGCTCGACTTGATTGTCCTCGACCGTCACCTTGGATGTCGTGGCGATGCGCAGCTGCTGCACGCCCTGCAGCGGCCACCGCACGCTTGTCGGACGCGCAAAGGCGTGCTCTGCCGGCGCGACGAGGCGCCCTTCAAATGTGCATCGCTCAATCCAGAAGTGCGTCACGCGCTCGCCAATGTGCGGCTCATCGACGCCGCCGTCTGGCCGGCTCACGGCGCTGACGCAGTAGTTGGCGGGCGCGGCATCGCTCGCCGCAATCGCCTTGCCACCGTGCTCCTTGACCGCCTTGCGCACCACGGCCTCGTGGCTCTCGTCGGCCAGATCGATGCGCACCGTGATGCCGCCGAAGACGCCCGCCGGCTGGCGAGACGGCCCGGCCTCGGACTTGGCATCACGAGCAGGGGCAGCCTCGGTCTTCTCCGGGCTCGCCCGACCATGGCGTGGCTCGGGCGTCGCAGTGGCCGCGACGTGCGTGCGCGAGACCTGCAGCCTGTCCGAGGGTCCCTCGAAGGCCGCCTCTCGCGAGATGGCGAGCAGGCCGCCGCCCTGCTCGCGCTTCCGCAGCTCCTCCGAGTCCACCTCTGTCGTCGAGGCGGCGATGCTGCGCAGGAGACTCGACTCGCCGCGCCGGCCTTGCACAGCCAGAGCGTTGAGGGTGCTCGGCACGATGTGTCTGGGCACAGCGGCGGCACGAGCAGCGAAGGCCTTGGTCTTGGCGACGCGTGCATCGCGGATCGCTTGCAGGTTCGCCTCGCGCTCTGCAGCACTGGGCGCTGCCTCGAAGATGTCGTACTTCTTCTCGTCCATACACGCTGTCCCAGCATTGTGAGCAAGGCGGCGCACAGAGGGCGGCCGGCTCGCCGAACTCACCACCAATCGCCAGCGAGTCCTCCACCCATTCGGCACGCACACACAGCAGGTCCACCGCAGCACGCAGTTGCATGCCTTCGCCCTCGGAGGGCAGCGCCTCGCCACGGCGCTGGAAGCGGCTGGCGCGCTGCCGGAACTTGACCACGGCCTTGAGCGTGTTGGAGTGCTGCGGCGCGTCGTGCTCGCAGACGATGTGCGAGTGCCGGCCCGGGATCATGTCGAGCGACTGCGGCGTCTCGGCGCCGGCCGCTCCCATCTGTGAGCGCAGCGCCGCGCGCTGCTTCGCTGTGGGGCAGACGAAGTCAGCTTTAAGCGCACACCACTGGCACACCGCTCTCAGCGCACGGTCTTGAAAGCCGGCAAGGACGATGTTGAGGCCCTCGAACGTCTTGAGCGTGTGCTCCTCGGTGAGCTGCGGCGGGGCCGTCATCAGCGTCGCGAGGCCACTTGCGCGGGCGCATGCGACTCACCGCGGCCAGCTCGCACGGCTCGGCCATGACCCAGCGCCGGCGCAGCTCGGTCAGCCAGGCGGGGCTCAGCACGGGCACGCCGAGCGTCAGCGCGCAGCGGTACTTTTCCGAGCCGGGCGTGCGGGCGATGAGGTGCGTCGCGTCGTCGGTCAGGTTGCCGTCGCAGCTGGCGCCGAGCTCGACGGCGGCCTTCTGCAGCGCAACCTGCAGAACTTGAGGGTCAACAACGGCGGCATGCGGTGGCAGGGCGCGGCTCCACGCCGTCCAGTGCTGCCCCCCTCCTCGCTGGCCTCGTCATCGCTGGCCACACGCACCTTCTCCTCCGAGCCGAGGCCCGTCATGCACAGCGTGGCGCCGCGCAGCGGGCGCTCGGCCCAGTCGCGCGCCGTCTCGCTGCCCTCGGGGCCGTGCTGCTCCTCTCTGCTGCGCTGCGCCTCGCGCAGCGCGCGGAAGTGCGCCGCATCCTCGTCGGCGTCGGCGCGGCTGGCGTCGCGGCGCGCACGCTTGGCACTGCCGCTGCCGCTGGCGTCGGCATCGCTGGGCGCGGGGCGCAGCTTGACGCCGGGCACCTTGGTGCTGCGGTGCGCGCGCGCGCTGCGATTCATGGCAGCGGGTGGCGCGGCGAGGTGATCCCGGTGGGGTGCTGTGGGGTGAAGGTTGTGCGGCAAGAGCGCGGGCGAGAGGCTGGCGAGAAGCAAGGCAAGGGCGCGCGGCCGGGCGCGCGCGTCTCCCACGGCGCAGCAGCGCTCCCAGCTCGTCCTTGCCCGCCGCGCCACAGAGCAGCACGCTGGCTAATTTATCGGCTCACCCCCTCGAAGTGCCCTCCGACGCTGTCTCGCCAGTCCGACCTCGCTGCGCACCAGGTGGTGCTCTCGCATCTGACCCTGCGCAGCTCCCGCCCGGCCGCCTGCAACGAGCACCAATCAACGCGTCATGCGCTCGAGAGCAACACGCGACGCGTCGCCGGCGCAGCGCCAGCGCCGGCGTCACGCGCGAGCACGATGTCGACCTCACGACGACGTGGGCGAGCAACTTCAATGGCGCACACACGGCATCGCACGATGGATAGATAGACATTGGCACAGCACATGGTCCAGCATGCTGCTGCGTGAGCGCCAGCTAGTAGCGTCTCTGCTCTCCACCGCCGCCGCCGCCGCCGCCGCCATGGCGCCGCGGCGATCGTTCCCGCTCACGGTCGCGCCCGCCGCCGCCGCCGCCGGGCGTGTACGTCGAGCCGCGGCCGGGCGAGCGCGAGCGGCCGCGGTGGCCGTTCCCAGGTGCGTCGTGGTCGTTGATGCGCGCCCAGTTGTTGCCGCTCGGCTGCGGCCCCGGCGGGCCCCGTCCACGCCCGCCGCCGTCGCCGCCACCACCGCCGCTGCCGGCGCCCGTCGGCCCGCCGCGCTCGCGCTGGCTCAGCGGCGGCGGCACAGCGACGTCGGGCCGCCGCGGCAGGCAGAGGGGCGCACGAGGCAGCGGCAGGCCGGCCTCGGCGCTGCCGCTGCGCTCGCCGCCGCCGTTGCCAAAGCTGCGCTCGCGGCTCGGCGCCGGGCGACCTCCGCTCTGGCCGCCATTGTGGTACGGTGGCGAACCTTGCTGGCCGCCGTGGCCTGCGCCGCCGCCGTTGCTCCAGCCCTGCTGATGCTGCTGCTGGCCGAAGGGCATCATCGGCATGCCCGCCATGCCCATCTGCGGCATGCCAAAGCCCGGCATGCCCATGCCCTGCATGCCCGGCATGCCGCCTATGCCCGGCATCATGCCCATGCCGCCCATCATCATCTGCTGCATGAGCAGCGGGTTGAAGTTGGCGCCCCAGCCCGTCTGCTGGAACATGGCCGCCATGGCGTGCGGGTCGAATGCGCCTGCGACAGCGCCGCCGAGGGGCGCCGCCTGCTGCTGCTGCGCCGGAGAGCCGCCTAGCCCGTCGGCGCCGTAGCTGCCGCTGCCGCCGTCGCGCCGCAGAGGCCGCCGCTCGCCGTCCGTCGCACTCGTCTTGCGCGCATCGCCGCGCGGCTGTGCACGCTTGACCTCGATCTGGGGAAGGAGCAAATGAGCCGGGCACCTGCACGGCAGGCTCGACACCGCGACGCACCTGCTCGCCATTGATGTACAGCGGCTGCGAGCCCATGCACTTTTGCGCACTCGCCTCGTCGGTGAACGAGACGAAGCCGAAGCCGCGCGGGCGGCCCGTGGCGCCGTCGAGCAGCATGTTGCACTCGGTGAGCGTGCCGAACGGCTCAAACGTCTTGCGGAAGACCTCGGACGTGGCGCTCTGCGGCACACTGCCGACGAAGCAGCGCGACGTGGCGGCGTTTGCACTGTCGCCTCGCGGGATGGCGCGCTTGGGGTCGATCTGCAACCGCACGGTCAGCTCACTCCGCCCCCCGGGCGGCTCGAGCGCCAAGCACGCACCATCTTGCCGTCGAGAAAGTGCTCCTTGACCATGACGACGTTGACGGTGGCGGGCTCGGCAAATGCCAGGAACGCAAAGCCGCGCGAGCGGTTCGTGCCGGCCTCGCGCATGATGGTGCAGTGCGACACGCGCCCGAACTGGCTGAAGTACTGCTTCAGGCCCTCTGGACAAGAGAGAAGGAGGCACAGGCTTCAGAGGTGCGCGAGCGCAGAAAGGGAGGGTGCGGCATGTGCAAAGAAGCCTCACCGTCTGTGGTCTCCCAGTTCAGGCCGCCGATGAACATCTTGCTGTCAACGTACAAGCAGGGCAAAGGATGTGGTCAATGGGTGGTCCTGCGTGGATGGCAGCAAGGAACCAGTCGCGAGAGCAGCGGGCCGCGCAGAGCCGCAAGGCGCAGCCGTCGTCCCGCTCGTATGCATCGGCACGCCATCTCATTTTGACGGTCGCACCGCCCGCGTGGGTGCGCAGGCGATGGCGAGCGGTGATTGATAGCGTCGGGTACCGTGCCTGGGCTCGTCTGTGCTCTTCTGTTACGCGCTGCCGCGTGGCATGAGGCGCTCTACCTGGTGATGGACTAGATACGGCTCGGAACGAGTGCAGTATACCGTGACACGACGAGTGGAGCTACGTGGCAGGAGGCGCGAGCTGTACGGGGAGCAGCGGGTCGCGTGCGGCGCACAAGAGCGCCCAGGATGGACGGAGCCAAGCAGCAAAAGGAGTGGGACAGAAGAGCGCGCAAAGGCACGCGCGACGAAGGGGCAAGGACAGCAGACACGCTCGCTCCACCAGGGCTCGGGCTCAACGCCATCGCCGTCGCTCGCGCCCTTCCCTCAGCACGCGCGCGGCATCAGCGACTCACCCTTCGTCGGGCATTTCGTGCGGCATGACCTTGCGCTCGTCTGCCGACTGGCGCTGCTGCTGCTGCGCCGCGGCATGTGCGGCGCCCTGCCAGCCGTCGCCGGCAATGGCGGCGCTGACGCGTGCATTGGGCGGCGGCGGCGAGTAGGTGCGGTTGGCGTACGGCTCGCTGGCCGTCTGCGGCGCCGGCGGCAGGAAGGCTGGCCGCGCTGCTGCTGCCGCCGCGGGCGCGGGCGGGATGAAGGACGAGGCGGCGCTCGTCGAGGCCGCGGCACTGCCGGGCGGGATGAAGGAGCTGCGTGCGGGCGCGGGTGCGGCAGCCGCAGCAGCCGGCGCTGCACTGGCCGCCGCAGCGGGCGGCGGCGAGGCGAGGGCGGCGGCGCCGGGACTGGCGGGCGCCGCGCCGTCGTCGCCCGCATCGCCGTCTGCGGCGAGCCAGTCAACGCCGCCGACGTCGCCGTCGTCGCCGTAGAGGTCGGAGTAGAGGTCGTCTGCGTCGTCGGCCATGGTGCGGCGCAGGTGTCGGTGTGGTGGGTGAGAAGCAGGCACCGGCACCTGCAGGCGGCAACACGGCGCAGCGCAGGCAGCACAGGCAGCGCCCCCCTGGCAGGCGCGTGCGTGCCGCGGGCCAGCTGCCATGTGGCACGCTGCCGTGCCGCCAGCGAGCGCTCGCGCGGCGCCAGGCTCTCGGCCGGGAGCGAAAAGTGCCTCGCCGCGCCGCCTCCTTCGCCAGCCGCCGTCTCTGCGGCGCGCAGCGCGCTCGCCTCTTCGCGCCGGGCCACAGCATCCCGCCTAGCATGTAAGTGCCACACAGCTGCCGCGCAGCACACCACCCGCTCACACACCGCAGGTCGCGCCTCATCGTCAAGCAGCTGCCGGCGTACCTCTCCGAGGCGCGGCTGCGCGAGCACTTTGCCGCACGCGGCGGCGCCGTGACGGATGTGCGCCTGCTGCGCCGCCCCGACGGCACGTCGCGCGGCTTTGCCTTTGTCGGCTTCCACAGCGACGCCGACGCCCTCGAGGCGCAGCGCTACTTCGACCGCACCTACATCGACACGTCGAAGATCGCCGTCGAGGTGGCGCGCAAGGTGCGTTGCGCAGCGCAGTGCCGCCGCAGCAGTGCCGCAGCTGACACGCTGCACAGATCGACGACGAGAGCCTGCCGGACCGCCGCAACAAGCGCAGTGCGCCCGGCGCCGACCTGCCGCCGAGCAAGCGGCATGCCGGCGAGTCGGGCGTCGTCGCGTCCACGCCGGGGGCCGAGGCGTCGGGCAGCAAGCCCAAGCCGCCCAAGGCCAGCAAGAAGGGCGTCTCCTTCGACGAGTTCATGTCCGTCATGGCACCCAAGGCCAAGCGCAAGACGTGGCAGAACGAAGAGGGCGGCGAGCAGGCACAGCTGGCCGCCGGCGACTTTGCCCACGGCGCCGCCGTCGCCGACGCTGCGGCGGACCGCAAGGTGCGCAAGGCGGAGCGTGCCGCACGCCGCGCCGCAAAGGCCGAGGCGGCCGCCGCCGCGGCGGCCGCAGAGGAGGAGCAGCGGATAGAGCGCGACGAGCCCCAGCCGGCCGACGCGGCGCTCAACGACGAAGGCATGACGGACCTCGACTACATGCACCGCCGCATGAAGCGCAAGCTCGGCGGCGAGGAGGAGAAGCCGGCACTAGAGGACGACGACGACGCGCCAAAGGCCTTTGAGCAGTCGGGCTCAGAGGCTGGTGACGACGATGTGGCCAGTAGCAGCGATGAGAGCGACGAGGTGCGATTCTAAGCGCTGCTCTGCCTGCCTCTTATGCTGATGCCTCTTGCTCCAGGACGATGACGACGCGGCAGCGAAGCGCGAGGCCGAGCGCAAGCGCCTCGAGGCCGAGGCGGCCAAGGAGCAGGAGTCCATCGACACCATCATGACGAGCGGACGCCTCTTCGTGCGCAACCTGCCGTTCGGCGCGAGCGAGGACGAGCTGAGCGAGTACTTTAGGCGCTGGGGCAGCGTGTCGCAGGTGAGCGCCGATGTTCTGGTCTCGACGACGGCGAGCGGGCGCACTACGGGGATGACGTATCTAGTATAGGGACAGCTGAGCCACGGCGCTGCTGATTTATACATTCCGGGATTGCTTAGTAACAATACCCACTCTGCTGAGCAGTGCGCCCGCTTGCCGCGGCCGCCCATCTTTGCCCCATGCTCTGCGGGCCCTTGTTGACACGCTGAGTCTGCAGGCACACATCCCGCTCGACAAGAAGAGCAAGAAGGCCAAGGGTCTTGCCTTCGTCAAGTTCGAGGAGCCTGCCAATGCCCTCGCGGCCTTCCGCGCCGCGGACGGCGCCACCTTCCAGGGCCGGCTACTGCACGTCATGCCTGCCGTCGATGCCCGGCCCGTACCGGCGGACGCCAAGGCCAAGACTCTCAAGGAGCAGAAGAAGGAGACGCTCAAGGCCGACGCGACAAAGGACTTCAACTGGAGCATGCTCTACATGAGCGCCGACGCCGTCGCCAGCAGTGTCGCCGAGCGCCTGGGCGTCGACAAGAGCCAGATACTCGATGCCAACGACGACAGCGGCGTCAGTCCTGCCGTCAAGCTTGCGCTGGCCGAGACGCGCGTCATCCAAGAGACCAAGGCGTTTCTGAGCAAGGAGGGTCTTGATCTCGACGTCGTGCAGTCTGGCAAGCGCGTCGCTCGCAGCGACACGACGATTCTCGTCAAGAATATTCCGCACGGCACGACGACCGAGGCGCTGCGCGAGCTCTTTGCCAAGCACGGCGACGTCGAGCGCGTCGTCATGCCGCCGGCCGGCACGCTGGCCATCGTCGAGATGCCCGTGGCGGGAGAGGCGCGCGTCGCCTTCCGGTCGCTCGCCTACAAGCGCATCGGCAACGGCGTGCTCTACCTCGAGAAGGCGCCTGTCGGGCTGCTCAAGCCCAAGGAGGAGGTCGAGCTGGCAGCACCCAGCGCCTCTACTGGCGCCGCTGCGCCACCGTCAAAGACGGAGCAGATGCACGGCGCATCGGCCGCCGACAACGACGACGCCGAGCCGGGCGCGACGCTCTTCGTCAAGAACCTCTCCTTCGCCACGACGGACGAGACGCTGGCCAATTTCTTCGCCGCCCTGCCCGAGCTTGCGTTCGCACGCGTGCAGACGCGCTCGGATGCCTCCAAGCCCGGCGTGCGTCTCAGCATGGGCTACGGCTTTGCCGGCTTCCGCAGTGCGGCGGCTGCGAAGGCGGCGCGGCAGGCGCTCGACGGACACGATCTGGACGGCCACTCGGTCTCGCTCGCCTTCGCCAAGCGCGGGCAGGACGAGGACAAGAGCAAAGGCAAGGGGGCCGCGGCGCAGACGAGCAGCACCAAGATCGTCGTCAAGAACCTGCCGTTCGAGGCCAACAAGAAGGAGGTGCGCGCCCTCTTTGCGGCGTACAACGTCAAGAGTGTGCGTGTGCCGCGCAAGCCTGCCGGCGGCGCCACTGCGGGAGCGCGAGGCTTTGCCTTCGTTGAGGTTGCCACGCGCCGCGATGCCGAGGCGGCGATGGAGGCCCTGGCGCACACGCATCTGCTGGGCCGGCACCTGGTGCTGCGCTACGACAAGGAGGACGCACAGGGCGTCGAGGGCGTGCGCGCACGCACGCAGCGCGCCCTGCCGACGGGCGAGGAGACGGTCGCGCGCAAGGCCAAGCTGCATCTCGGCGAGGACGACATCCGCGACGCCGTGGCGCGCGAGCGTGCCGCGGCCGACGCTGCCGACGATGACGACGACGAGTAGTGGGCCTCTCCTCGCCGTGGCAGGGCTCTTCACTGTATCATCACCCTTACACACCATGTATACCACGACTCAATGCTGCATCACCTGCTCCGCACACTCGCGCGTTGGAGGCATAGAACTACGTTGCGAAAGCAAGAGACTGGTTGGAAGAGCAGCACATGCAGGGGGGCGGACTGGAGAGAGAGAGGGAGAGATGAGTGGGAGACGGATGCTGCGAAGGGGCTGGTGAGAGGGTGTGTGCCAGAGAGAGAGAGAAGAGTCGGCCGGTTAGAGAGGCGGCCAGAGTCGCTGTATCGCAGAGGCGCACCCGCCGCGCGGCGCTCGCAGATGTCCGTCCGTCGCTTTACTGCCCGCTGCCGTAGCCTCGCGTGGGCCCGCCGGGCACGCCAAAGCCGCTGAGCGGGTTCGGCGGCGCAGCGGCGGCGTCCCACGCCGAGCGCGGCGGCGGCTGCTGCGGCGGCGGCTGCGGCACGCGCGGCGCAAACGAGTCCCAGCTGTTCTGCACGCGCGCCCAGGGGTCGACGCCGCTGCCGTTGCCGATCGGCGTGCTCATGCCGCCAAAGGCCGACGAGCCGGTGAGCGACGTGCCCAGCGACGGCAGGCCCACGCCGACGCCCGCAGACGGTCGCGCCGGCGCCCAGGGCGACGAGGAGCTGCCGAAGCCGGCGCCGCCAAAGAAGCCCGAGGCGCCGCCGGGCGCGGCGTGGCTGGTGCGCCGCGGCTGCGGCTGCACCAGCTCATCGTCGCCGCCCAGCGCACTGCTGCCGAGGATGCCGTCGGGCAGCTTGGGGCTCGGCGCGCGCGCCACGCCCGACCCGACGGACATGCCAATCTGCCCAATGCTGCCGAGGCCACTGGGCATGTCGTCGAGGCTGTCGCTGCCGCGCGGCCGCCCAATCGGCCCGATGGGACCCGGCGTGGCGCGGTGCAGCGAGCGGCTCGACATCGTCGCAGAGCCCGGCCGGTAGCCGAGGTCCTCGCTCGGCGCAGTGCTGGGCGTGCGCGAGTGCGCCGCGCTGCTGCTGCTCAGGAGCGAGCTCGGCGGGCCGATGGGGCCCTGCGACGGCGGCAGGCCGCCGAGGCTCATCGAGGCGAGCGAAGCACTGGCGCTGGCAATGCTCGGCGAAGAGAGCGAGTCGACCTGCTTGCCCTCGCCCAGCGCGCCGAGCCCGTGGTGGATGCCGTTGGCCAGCGGCGGCGAGCGCACAGAGTCGAAGCCATGCGGCAGGCCGCCACCGTACGCGCTCGGCGAGAAGGCGCGCGAGGCGGAGCTCAGGTGCTGCGGCTGCGGCTGCGGCTGCTGCAGATGCGTCTGGAGCGGCGGCGCGTGCTGATGTGCCGGCAGGCCCGGGGCGCCCGACATCAGCGACTGCGAAGGCGGCGCCGCCATGCTCTTCGACGAGCCCGATGCAAACGCCTGCTGAGCCGTCGAGTTGAAGCCGAGGTGCGACGTGGCGCCGATCGGCGCGTTGACCGGCGGCCGCGGGAGCGAGCCTGGGCCGGAGCCGGACGGCGAGAGGCTCGAGTTGGCCTGCGAGTGCGGCAGGGAGTTGAGGACGGGCCGTGCGGGCAGGCCTTGGGGCGGTGCCGGCAACGACGAGCTGGACCCCGCCATGGAGAAAGGCGACATGTGCTGCGGCTGCTGCGGCAAGAGCTGCGGCTGCTGCTGCATCTGTGCAGCCTGCTGCGCCGGCGGCAGCTGGTGCGAGCGCCCTTGCTGGGCAGCCTGAGGCTGCACAGCCTGTGGCGAGCGGTTGGGCAGCTGCTGCGACGCACCTGGTGCTCCGAGCTGCTGCTGCTGCGGGACCGACGAAGAGGCACGCGCCGCAGCGTTCTGCGCCGCCGTGCGCGGAGAGGTCGGCACCGAAGAGCCGCGGGCGCGAGCCGTAGCCGAGGCGGCAGCCTGCTGCACCGCAAGTGCAGGCGACTTGGGCGGCATGCTGATCGTCTGCGAGCGCGAGCTGGCCGGCGACACGGGCGCAGTGCCCGAGCTCGCGTGTGGCGGCGACGCTGTCGGCGCCCGGCCAGACGAGGCCGAGCGCTGCTGCTGCGCCTGCTGGCTGGCCCTCGTCTGCGCAGCGGCACGTTCGGCAGCCTCCTTCTCGCGGCGCGCCTGCTCGGCGGCGCGGCGCTCGCGCTCCTCGCGGCTCTTGCGCTCGGCCTCCTCCTTTTCGGCCTGCTGCTTGGCGCGCAGCGCCTCCTCTTCGGCGGCCTTCTTCTCGCGCTCCTTGGCCTCGCGGACCTCGCGCTCGGCCCGCGCCTTGTCCTCCTTCTCCTTGCGCTTGCGTTCCTTTTCGGCCTCGCGCGCACGCTCCTCCTCGAGGCGCTTGCGCTTCTCCTCGTCCTTGCGCGCCTTCTCTTCGGCGAGCGCCTTGCGCTCGGCCTCGCGCTTGAGACGCAGCTCCTCCTGCTTCTTGAGCTCCGCCTCGCGCTGCTTCTCCAGCTTGGCCTTGGCAGCTGCTTCTTCGGCAGCGCGCTCGGCATCCTTGCGCAGACGCTCCTCCTCCTTCTGCTGCTTTGCTTGCCTGAAGCAGACATGCGTGAGCACCGGCCGTCAAGGATGCGCTCGTGGCTACGCACTTCTTCTTGTCCTTCTTCTTCTGGTTCTCCTTTGCGCGCTTTGCCTCACGCTCCTTCTCGAGGTTGTCTTCCTCCTCGAGCTCACGGAGGAGCTGCAGCTGGCGCTCTTGCGCAACCTGAAGCGCACCGGTAACATAAGCCTCTGCACTGCGGTGGCGGCCCGAAAAATCTCACCTTTTCGCGGTAGGCCTGGAGCACTCGCTGCTCGAACATGCGGGCGGCAAAGATTTGGAACATGCGGCGTCCCTCCTCCATGCGCTGCTCGTCCGTGAGCGCCTCCTGCTCAGGCGTTGATGAGCACGTGCGCGACAAACGCGTTTGCGACAGCCGTCCGATGCCCCGGCCGACGTAGCGCCGCTGCCGTGACAACTACTCACCTCTTCAGGGTCTTCCTCTTCTTCCTCCTCTTCCTCCTCTTCTTCCTCATCGTCTTCGGCCTCGGCCTCATCATCGCTGACGTCCTGCTCCGCCTGCGCGTCGTCGTCACGCAGCACGCGGCGCTCGGCCAGCTGCTCCATCATCTCGAGGAACTTCTGGCCGTCGTTCTTGAGCAAGTCGTCTGCGACGGTGAGGATGCCGCCTGATGTGCGCCACATCGTCAGCCCTGCCATGCTTTAGCGCAGCCGCGTGCGGACAGACTTACCCTTGACGGTGAGCGAGGAGCCGAAGCTGAGGAAGTCGCGGCCCGCCGGCGGCGCAGCAGGCGCGCGGCGGCGCCGGGCGCCCGTCTTGGACTCTGGGTCGTCGAGGTCTGCGTCGTCTTCCTCCTCTTCCTCCTCTTCGTCGTCGTACTCGTAGTCGTCCTCCTCCTCGTCGAGCTCGTCGTCGTCGTAGCCGTCGTCCTCGGCGGCAGGCAGGCCGCGCTTCGCTGGCGGATGTGCGTGGCGCGTGGTGCGCGGCGGCGGCTTGACGAGGCCGGCGCCATCGATGACGGCGCCATTGCTGTCGAGCGCCACGCTGCCCGGGAACGGTCCCGGCCCCGGCGGCGGCGGAATGGTGCCGCCACTGGAGACGTACTGCTGCTGGTGGTTGGCGTACTGCTCGAGCTCGTCGTAGTACGAGTCGTACAGCACCTCGAGCTCCTCCTCGATGGCGAGGCGCTTGCGCGTGCACACACTGCACGTGCAGCCGTGCTTCTGCTGCTCCTTCATCTTGCGCAGCACCGAGTCCTTCTCGACCTTGACGAGACTGCGCCGCTCGCGCTCGCTGAGGCCGAGCCAGAACTCCTTGATGCGCTCGCGCTCCTCGACGCTGCTCGTCGACCAGATGCGTGGCGGCTGTGCGCCGCCGGCCGCCGTGCCGTTGACCGAGCCATGCCCGTGCGAGCTGGGCGCGGGGGCCGCGGCGCCGGCCGCTGCAGGAGCGGCGGGCCGCTTGCCTGCGGCCGTCGTCGACGGGGCGTGCGAGTGACCGTTGGCCGCGGGCCGCGCCGTCGCCGGCGCCTTGCCCGCGGCGCGCGAGCTGAACGTCATGGGCTGCTTGCCGGCCGCGCGCGAGCTCGGCGGCGGCGCGGCCGGATTGGCAGCCGTGCGCGGCGCTGCGGGCGCCGGCGGCACGGCCGCGGGTGGCGCCGCAGGGGTGCGCGCCGCCGGCGCCGGCGTCGTGGCTGGCGGCAACGCCGCGGGCGGCAGCGCCTCGGCTCCCCCTCCTCCGCCGCCGCCACCGCCGCCCTTCTTCTTCTTTTTCTTGTTCTTCTTCTTGCCCGAGGGCTGCTCACCGGTGGCGGCACCGTTGGCCATACGCGCGCCCGACAGGTCCTGCATCCAGCCGCCGTCGGGGCCCTGCACGAGGCCCTGGTCCATGGCGACGTGCTCGTGGTCGAGCTCCTCGTCGGAGTAGTAGTCGTCGTCGTAGTCGCCGGCCTCCTCGCCGTACTCGTTGACGAGCACCATGGGCGCCGGCAGCGGCTCGCCCGGCGGCTGCGTCGGCGGCGGGTTCGTGCCGCCGTAGTGGTGGCCCGCGGCAGGCACGTAGTTGGGGTGCGGGTGCAGCGGCAGCGCCTGCTCGGGCGAGAGCGCCAGGTCGGCAAAGATGCTCGGGTCAAAGGGCAGCGACGGGTACGGGTGCGTGCCCGGCGGGTACTGCGACAGGTGGCGCTGCGAGGCGTGCGCCGCCTGCGCCAGCTGCTGCGCCACGGCGATCATGGCCTGCGTCGAGGCCTGGCGCGCCTTGGGGTCGTTGGGGTTCAGCTGCGCCGACGGCGGGAACTGGCCGAGCGGCAGCGCGTTGCGGATGAACGTGCGCAGGTGCGCCGGCAGCGACGTCCAGTAGGCGTCGTCGTCCGGGATGCCCTGCGGGTCCGCCTCGATGCGCCGGTACAGGTCGCTGGCAGTGGCGAGCAGGTCGGCCTGCGCCTGTGCCGTCGCCGAGTAGGCGTCCTGGCGCCCCGGCGCGGCGGCCTGGCCGTCGAGCAGCGGCGAGGCAAAGTCGACGTAGCCGCTGCCGTCGTCGGCCTTCTTGCCCTTTGCCTTTTTCTTCTTCTTCTTCGACGCAGCCGCTGCGGCAGCGGCAGCGGCGGCGGCGACGTCGCCCGGCGCCGGCATGGCGGCCGGCAGCGGCGCCGGCGCGGCGTCGGGCGACGGCGGCGAGGCCTGTGGCGGCGGCTGCGACGGCGCGCGGGCCGGCGGCGCCTTGGCCTTGGCCATGCTGGAGCGCGGCACGGGCGGGCGCTCGCTCAGGCAGCACGCAGCGGCAGGCGCAGCAGGAGCAGCGGCGCGCAGGCGGCGACGGCGACGGCGCTCGCGGCGTCAGCGGCGCAGCACGCGGAGCAGCGGGCGGCGAGGGCGACGCAGAGCGGGTGCGGCAGGCGCGGCAGCGAGAGCGCAGCAGCGGCGATGCGGCACGCGGGCAGGCAGACGGAGCGCGGCCGGCGCGCGGGCGCAGTGGGGCGGTGTGAGGGCGCGGGCGTGGGTGCGCTGGACTGAGGCACAGCGCAGCACGGGATGGGATGGGTGGAAGCGAGAGGAGCAGCGGCGGAGCCGAGCTGGATCCACGACGCGGCCGGCCGGCTCGTCGCCGCGCTCGGCCGCGACGGCTTGCGCGGGTGCAGGTCACCTGCCGCGCGCGGCAGCTGGGCTGGCGGCGTGGCCTGCGCGCACGGCGGGAGCAGCAGCGCCGGCTGGGCGCCCTCGCGGTGCGCCAAGGGCATCGCGCGGCCCGCACAAGGGCCGCCGCGCACAGAGTCGCTCGCCCCGTCCTCGTCGCCTTCATCCTGCCCTCACAGCCGCTACGTTCCTCCAGGGTGTACAGGAAGCTCGTCAAAATATCGAGCACCATCTGCTGAGGATACTTTTGCTTTTAAGACAGCCACTGGGCCGCGGTGCAGGCTCGCTGAGCCGGGAGCAAGGCGCAGGCGGCGACGTTTGCTTCCGCAAGCCGAGCAGCTCTGGACTCCCTCACCGTGCCTTGTCCACGCCACCGAAAGACAGTTTCCACGTCTCAAGCACTTCAAGCACTCCATCAAGGGCTGCATGCCCTGTGCTCTGCCGAGGTCCTGCCCGAACGACAATATTACGCTCAGTCAGAGGTGACGCCTTGGTGCTTGACAGGCGCGGCGGCGAAGATGAGCCAAGAGGTCGCGCGCGGCGGCGCCGCGGCCGGCGATTTTCCATCGCGGCGCCGGTGATCCCGCCGCCTCACGGGCTGTCGCCCGGCCTCCTTCGTCACTGCGCCCCAGCATGTCGCACTCTCCGCTCTCATGACATCTGCCGTAGCATGCCGACTCCTCTCTTCCATCTAAGCTGTGTTGCTGCTCCTGCGAAAGCGCTGGTCCGCTTCCTCCAGGCGCGTGCCCAGCAGCGGCACCGCAGCGCCGCGACGTGTGGGTGCCACGTGACCTCTCAGCCTCGGCGCTAGCTCGGCGTGAGAGAGCGACTGGGGCGTGCAGCGTCGCGTTCGCCCAGCTTTCGCCCCCTGGGCAATGAGCTGTCATCCTCACCGCTCCATGGCTGCACTCTCCGACACATCAGTCCGCCGCAGGTATAAGCATTGCCGTCCGCTCTACATCTCGCATCAGTACAGGCCCAGGCTACTGCTGCTGCCGCTGCCTTGCTCTCGCTCCTCGCGCGCGAGCCGGCACGCCTCGACGCATCTGCCGATGCCGGGCACGTCCGAGAGGAGCGTGACGTGCCGATGTCCCGTGACATGTTCGCCATGCTCGCCCTCGCCCCTCACCAGCAGCGGGCGCCATGCATCGGGCAGCGCCGTGCTGCTGCGCAGACTGATGACGCCGTCGCCCGCCTCCCAGAGCATGCGCGAGTAGTCGCCCGCCCGCACATCCTCCTTCCAGCCGTCGGCACTGGCGTCTGCGCCCTCGCGGCGCGCACGGATGAGTGCGCCGCGCGTCGTGGGCGTGCGTCCACTGCTCATGATGGCCAGGGGCGGATAGGCGCCCTGTGCGAGCAGATCAGGGTCCGGGCCACTCGCCAGATCCTCGTGCATGCGGCGGGTCTCGTTGAGCGTCTGTGCCGCGCAGAGGGCAAAGAAGTCAGCTGCATGCTTGCAGCGCGGCAACATCCAGCATCACACTCACTCGCGCCAGATAGTCCCATACCTCATCGTTAGACGCCAGCGACGGCAGATGCGTGTCGAGCTCCTCTGCCTTGTCATTCTGCGCCTGCTCGTCGTCCTGCCGGTTGGCGGGCATGATGGACGAGTCCTGGCCCGGTGTCTCCTGCCCGAGCGCTTGTCCCGCGCCAGCCGCCGCATCGACGGCATGTGCCGCCGTATCCGCTGCGCCGGAACTCGTCGGACTCTTGAGCTGAAGGTCACTGCCCAAGCCGGCGCCTGTGTTTCCTCGACTGGCACGAGCGGCGCGTCCGCCGTCGAGCGTTGCTTCGCTGCTGAGCATGCTGCGGCCATTGTCCTCGTCGTTCGTCCGCTCCGTGCTGCTGCTGGCGGAAGCAACCGAGTCGCGCCGCTCTTCGCGCGCTCGCCGAGCCTGCCACTCCTTCATGCGTCCCGCCTCGACGCAGGGCGAGAGGCCCAAGTCGTCCCAGACGCGCGCATCGAAAAAGTCGAGGTCGTAGCAGCGTCCTTGCTCGTCCTCGAAGCAGCGCCCGTCCTTGGGCAGCAGGGCGAACGAGGAGCGGAAGGAGAATGTGGCGCGTGGAGAGCAGACTGCGGGGCCACCACGGCAAGCGTAGAGTGTCAGAAGCTGCTTCAGCGTCTAACTCCTTTGTCAGGACTCACCAGAGTCATTGAGCAGCGCTGCATCGCCATAGCGGAACGGCCCCAGGATGTTGGCCGTGCCCGCAAACGGCGTAGAGGCAAAGATGAGGGACTGGAAGATGCGCGGGTTCTTCGTCCTGCTGAGCGCGTGCAGCGCGACTAGACCGCCCACTACGAGGCAGGGAGAGGGCAAGTTAGTCTCCTTCCGGCCGCTAACACGCACCACTGCCTGCTCACTAGAGTGCGCCACAACGACGGTGCCGCGTCGCTTGCCCTCCGGACCACTCTCCTCCCACAGGCGCTGCAGCTTCTGCTCCAGCAGTCGACTTGATCTCGTGACGCTCAGGCGCCAGTCGAAGCCCCACGAGTGCACCTGCGGGCGTCGCTTCCCCGCCGCCAGCGTGGCGCGCAGTCGGCCTCCCATGTCGATCAGCCGTCCCATGCCGGGCAGCATCTCGCCGGCCACCACGAGCTCCTCGGCGCGGTCTTCGGCTTGCTGACTGAGGCCCAGCTCGAGTGTCGGCCGCCGCAGGCCCACGCCAACCTGGGCGGCAGATGGAGCACGGTCAGCGGGAGCGCGCATGGCCAGGCGTAGCATGGGAAAAGCGCACCTTGATGGGGATCCACAGCATCTGCTTCGTCTCTGCATCGCGCAGAATGCTGCCGCGATAGCCGCCCATGCAGAGCACGTTGCCCTCCACGGCGTCAAAGTAGCGCTTGGCGCGCGAGTCGCGCTTGACGACGGGCATCAGCTCCGGCTCGTACGGCACGCCCGGGGCGCCTTTGCCGCTCTTCTGACTGCTGCTGCCCGCAGGCGACATTTCGTCGCCCTCGCTGGCCATCGACGACGGCCCAAAGACACTGAGCGACGACAGACTGGGCCAGCCGCCAAGCATGTCGCGCAGCTTGTCCGTGCCCGTGCCGAGCAGCCCTCTGCTCTTTGCCGCGCTCTCCTGCTCGCGCTCATCGGTCTTCGACGAGCGCCGTCTGCCCGTCAGAGTGTGCCATGGATGCAGCACGGGCCCAGCAAGTTCGCTGAGACTGCGCCAGCCCGACGAGGCGCCAAAGTGCGTGTCGTAGATGGCCTGCTGGCCCGTGGCGTTGCGATGGCCAGTCGGCACGTATGTCGCCTGTCCGGGCGCAGTGGCGCTCTCGGCAAGCAGCGCCGGCTCGTGGCGCCACGGATAGCCGCGCGGATCACGCACTGCCGGCGGCTCGGAGATGAGCACGGAAGAGGACGCCGTGTCGGCGCGCTCGAGGTGCTGTGTAGGCCGAGCCTCGTCAGAGCTGCCGCCGCGCAGAGTCGACGTGTCGTCGTACATGACCGTCGACTGCGAGGACTCCTGCAGCGAGCGGCGTCGCCGACGTCGTCGATACACCGGCTCGGCCGGCTCTTCCTCCACTGCAGTCTCCTGCTCGCTAATCGAGCCGGTGTCGTCGACAGCCGAGGCGGCGGCCATCGGATCGGCCAGCACTTCCCAGAGGGGCGTGGCGGGCACGGAGCGCGTGCGGCTGCGCAGCGAGCCTTTGCCGTTGACGGCGCGCCCGAGACCGACGGCAGGCACGACGGGCGCGAGGCCGGTGTCGTCTGCGTCGTCGTCGTCGCTCTCGCTGACGGTGCTGCCTGACGTCTTGCGCTCGCCAAAGAAGGGCAGGCGCGAGAGGGCCATGCTGGAGCGCCGACGCTCGCGCGACGCGGTGCTGCCGCCATTGCTGGCGCCCGAAGCGGCGCTGGAGGCTGTGCCGTGCCAGCCACGCTCGCTCTCGGGAATGTAGCGGCTGTGCGGCAGCTCGGCGGCGGCGCGCGTGCCGGGCGATGCGGCGCGGCTGGAGGGCCCCCAGGCGGGCAGCTTGAGCAGGCTGCTCAGCGGCGACGAGCTGGCCGAGGCAGCGGCTGAGCCGGCCGCTGACGAGTCGGACGAGGGCGGTGCCAGCGTGCTGGACGCTGCGGGAGCGGGCGCCATGGCGCTGGGCGTCGCGGGTCGGCGAGAGGCTGCCTGTTCGTCGCTGCAACGCTGTGGCCGTGCCTCGGTCCACTCTGCCCTGCTCTAGTCTGTGCGAGTGCCTGAGGTGCTTGAGGTGCGCTGGGTGCGTCGAGGCACGAGCAGCGGGTGGTGGTCAGGAGCACAGCCTGCGGCGGAGTCAGAGTGGGCCAGCGGTCGGGCCACATGCATGCCGCGTGCAGCTCGGCCCGCCGCATCCCGCTTCCGCCGCGTGCGGCGCGCGGCACAGCGGCCGGCTCAGGGGCGCGCCGCAGATCTCGCTCTCGCGGCTGCGGTCCGGCGCGCGCTCACCTCTCACGGGCCACGCTGGAGCTGCTGTTCGCCGTCGCTGCGTGAGAGCTGGTCTGAAGATGAGACACACAAGATCGCCGAACAAGCTCCCGATGCCGGCGTCCGGCTGGCGCCGTAGCTGCGGGACGGCGTGCGGTGCTGGGAAGCGAGACCTGCGCGCGTGGGAACCTCCACATCGCCTGGTCTTCGGCATGTCGGCGAGGCCTCAGGGCTTGACCGCGGTCGCCAGAGCCAGCGAACGAGCTTCAGAAGTCATGATGTGCGGAGAGGCGGCAGCGAGGTGACGCTTTGACCCGCAAGTGCGTAAGGTGACCTGGTGACGGCCGGGCGGCGGCGGCGACCCCTGACGTCTGCACTGCCCATCTCATGTGGAGCGAGCGCGGGGAAGGCGGACCGCTTCGGCCATGCGCCGCCGGCACATAAGAGCAGCCCTTTCGCTCGCTCTCGCGCTTGATATCCCCTACCACAGCCAACACCACACACACACATCATCATGGTTCGCCTGCTTGCTTGCCGCCGCCATGCCTCGTCACTGACACCGCATCGCAGAGCAAGGTCTTCTTCATCACTGGCTGCTGTGCGTCTTGCCCTCTCGGGCCTCCTCGGCCAGCCAGCTGACATGTCCGCGCACAGCGAGCGGCTTTGGCAACGAGTACGTGCAGATTGCGCTCGAGGCGGGACACAAGGTTGCCGCGGCCGGCCGCAGTGGCTCCAAGCTGTCCTTCTCCAGCGCGACAAAGGACAACTTCCTCGGCGTCGACCTCGACGTCACGTCCGCCTCGTCGGTGCACGCGGCCTTCGAGCAGGCGCACAAGCACTTTGGCCGCATCGACGTGCTGTGCAACAACGCCGGCTACGGCCTGGCGGGCGAGTTTGAGAGCCTCACCGAGGCGCAGTACCGCAAGCAGTTCGACGTCAATGTGTTTGGCCTCTTTGAGTGCACGCGCGCGGCGCTGGCCATCATGCGCGAGCAGGGCGGAGGCGTGATTCAGCAGGTGAGTGTGCGATGCGGGTGCAGGTGGCATGGCCCATGCTGATGGGTGCGGCGACAGATCACCAGCATCGGCGGGCAGATTGGCGTGCCGCTGTACAGCAGTGAGTCCTTGGCGCGCTGGGCTTGCAACGGCCTCAGCTGACAGCAGCGCGCGACAGCGTACTGCGCCTCCAAGTGGGCCGTCGAGGGCTTCACCGAGACGCTGAGCAAGGAGGTGAAGCCCGAGTGGGGCATCAAGTTCACGTGCATCGAGCCGGGAGGCTTCCGGTGCGTATAGCGCGCGCCTTGAGAGCGGCGCGGCTCGCTCATGCCAGGACTAGAGGCTGACTCCCTCCCCTTCCTCTCTGCAGCACCGAGTGGGCAGGCGGCAACATGATCTTCAACAAGCCCGAGAACAAGTGCAAGGCGTACGACCACCGTGAGTGTGCCTGCACATTCGGCCGTGCCCCTCGCGCCGCAGCGCTCACCTTTGCCCTACTCCGCGCTGCGTACAGTCGACGCCGAGGCCAACGCCAAGAAGCGGCACGGCACGCAGGTGGGCGACCCGCGTCGCGGAGCTCAGGCCATGTTCGACCTTGCCTTGCAGGCGGAGCCGCCGCTGCGCATCGTGCTGGGCAGCGATGCGTTTGCCGCCATCGAGGGCAAGCTCAAGACGTATGGCGAGAACGTGGAGAAGGGCAAGAAGATTTCGCTCAGCACGGACGTGGACGAGGACAAGAAGGTCAAGGCTTGAAGCGTTCCACGCGCGCGGCCCACGTCCTCCGCCGACTCGATATCCTTCCTCGCCGCAGCGCTTGCGAATCACATTGCATTGCGTGTGTCATGCTCGAGTCCAGACTGTCCGGCCGTCAATGATGGTAGCAAGCACCTGTGTCTCTCGCAGCTGCTTCGGCGTTGTCGCTTCGTCCATAATGTCGCGGTCGACGACGACGAGATCGGCGCGCCTGCCCCTCTCTAGCGAGCCTGTGCGCTGCTCCTCAAACTGCGCGTATGCAGCTGCGTACGTGAAGGCGTGCAGTGCGTCGGCGCGCGAGAGACGCTCGTGCGGCAGCCAGCCGCCGGGGCCGGAGGGCGAGTGACCCTCGGCATCGAGACGCGTGATGGCGCTGTAGAGGCCGTGGAAAGGATTCGGCAGCTCGACGGGGAAGTCGGAGCCAAAGGCGAGGATGCCGCCGCCGCTGCGCCAGACGCCAAGTGGCTATTAGTCACTGAGGCTTCAACAGCGGTGAGAAGCGAGGCTGCCAGGACTCACCGCAGCACAGACTGCCAGGGATACGCGCCCAGCATGCGCTCCGCACCCAGGCGCTTCTCCACATAGCCCATGTCCGACGTCGCATGCGTCGGCTGCATCGACGCCACAACGCCGAGCTGTCCAAAGCGGCTGGTGTCGTTCAGCCTGAGGATCTGCGCGTGTTCCACGCGCAGCCTCAGATCTTGTTGTGGACGAGCAGAGAGAAGCGCCTCGTATGCGTCCAGCACGAGCGAGTTGGCTCGGTCGCCGATGCAGTGGGTAGCCACTTGCCAGCCCGCGTCGAGCCAGTGCGCAACAAGCGCGCGCAGGTCGTTTGGCTCAATAAGCATCAGTCCGCGCTCGGCGGGCCGGTCGGCGTACGGCGCCCACATGGCGGAGCCCCAGGAGCCGAGGGCGCCGTCGGCGAAGAGCTTGACGGTGCGCACGGTGAGGCGCGATGCGGCGTGCCGAGGCAGCAGAGGGAAGCCGGCGGCAGAGGCAGAGTCGCTGCAGCGCGGAGAGGAGGTGGGACAGGCTAGCATGCCGTAGAAGCGCAGCGCCAGCTCGCCTCGTTCATCGGCGCTACAGCAGCGCGGGAGAGGCATCAGTTTGCCTGTCAGAGGAAGCACCATGGCATTCTACTCACTCGCGGAAGAAGCGCAAGCTGGGCAGGTCGACTGCGGCATCACCAACACTGGTGATGCCGACTGACAGCAGCGACTCGGAGGCCGCGGCAAGGAAGCGCCGGCGGTCCGTGTCGGTCCATGGCGGGATGACGTTGACTGCGAGCCAGCGTGCATACCGTCAGCACAAGCATTGACGCAGCATAGGTTTCTTCTCACTGACGAGCGTAATCCATGGCCTTGTCGATGAGCACGCCCGTCGGACGGCCCGCTGCATCGCGCAGCACGAGTCCGCCGGGAATGTCGACGCCCGGCTGCGGCAGACCCGCGGCTTCCACCTCGCCGAGTGCGCGTTCAGAGAGCCAGAGCGCGTGCACGTCGACGCGGCGCAGCGCAATGCGGCGGCCGTCGAGGAGGACGGAGCGCAGGTCGCTCTGAGCAATCGAGGGTGAGGGTGAAAGGCGAGACGGGCGGATCAGGACTCAACTCACGGCGCTCGGAAAGACGGGCGGGTCCCACAGCGTCTGATCCCAGCCAATGCCCTCGATCCAGCGTTCCCTGTCCGCCTCCAGCTCCGGCCGTGCGGCGAGGTGCTGCTCGATGCGCAGCCGCACCTCCTCCACCGAGCGCGCACCGACGAGGTTGACGGACTCGAGCGCCCAGCCCTGGTCGAGCACGTGGCCGTGCGCGTCGTGCAGGCCGGGCAGCACTGCCTGACCCGGCTGCCATGCACGAGTCAGCGCTGCGAGGAGTGTGGGACCTTGCCCTCTGGCCTCACCTCCAGCTCGCGCACCTCACACGCGCCGCCGCTGTCGCTGCGCTGCGCCGCGCACCAGGCCTGCACCGCCTCTCTACTGCCATGCTCGCGCACCACGCCGTCCTGCACGCCCAGGCACTGCACCGCCGGCGCATGTGCGGCGATGCGGATGCGCGGCGCGCGCTCCGAGGGCGCAGTGCAGATTGCCCAGCCGGCAGCCGTCCGGGCAGAAGCGCGCGCGGCATCTGTGCCGCGCAGCTGGAGCGAGCCGAGCCGCTGCCGCACGCTGTGTGCTAGCAGCACGGCGACGAGCAGCACGGACAGGGCACCGAGACGAGCGGCGCGTGGTGGCATTGAGTCAGTCGGCGAGGAGAGCGGGAAGGAGCGCCGCTTGATGGGCGGAGGGAAGGAAGGTGTAGGCGGCGCGCGTGGAGGCGCGAAGACGAGCTCTGAGAGCCGCGGATCTGCTGGGCGTGCGCCATGCATGTGATCGGCGCGCTCAGGCTGGCTTGGGCTGGCTGTGCGCCGTGCGCGCTGCCTGACTTGACACCGCACCCTCACCTCCCTGTCCTTGCCCTGCGCTGCACCGAGCACTGCACACTATACACCGCAGCACTGCACCACACACACACGCACCTACAACAGACCACACCGCCCGCCCGCCATGCCGCCCAAGGCGGACTGGGAGAAGTACTCGGGCCCCAAGGGCGACAAGAAGGACGACGAGCCCATCGTCGCGCTCGACGAGGGCGACATCCAGCTGCTCAAGACGTACGGCCAGGGGCCCTATGCGGCACAGCTGAAGAGCATCGAGCGCGAGATCAAGGAGGTGCAGGCGCGCATCGCCGAGAAGCAGGGCGTCAAGGAGAGCGACACCGGCCTCGCGCCGCCCAACCTCTGGGACATTCCCGCGGACAAGCAGCGCATGGGCGAGGAGCAGCCGCTGCAGGTGGCGCGCTGCACCAAGATCATCAAGGCCGGCGAGGGCAGGGACAAGGCGGCGGACAGCGCGCCGGACGCGGCGGCAGCGCCGGGCGGGGCGGGCGGCGCGCTGGGCGGATTGGCGCGCGCTCTCGGCGGAGCGGCGCCCGGTGGCGGCGCACAGCCGGCGGCCGAGGAGGAGGACAAGTACGTCATCAACGTCAAGCAGATTGCCAAGTTTGTCGTCGGCCTCGGCGAGCGCGTGGCGCCGACGGACATTGAGGAGGGTATGCGTGTGGGGTGAGTTGCCGCGCTGCCAACGCTGCACGTTGTATGGCTGACACTCGGCACCAGCGTCGACCGCAACAAGTACCAGATCCAGATCCCGCTGCCGCCCAAGATCGACCCCAGCGTCACGATGATGCAGGTCGAGGAGAAGCCCGACGTGACGTACGGCGACGTCGGCGGCTGCAAGGAGCAGATCGAGAAGCTGCGCGAGGTCGTCGAGACGCCACTGCTGAGCGTGAGTGTGCTTGCGCAGAGCGTGTGCAAGCGTGGCGCGCGCTGCGGCACTGCCGTTCCTGCAATGCCGTCGCTGCGCTGCTCTCGCTGCACTGCTGTGGCTGCGCAACAGTGGCTGCGCTGCCGTGGCTGCCGTACTCCCGCTGCCTTGTCGCCGTGCCCTTCACACCGCTGCCATGCTGCACGTTCGCTCACACTCTCGCCCGCCCGCGCAGCCGGAACGCTTCGTCAAGCTCGGCATTGACCCGCCTAAGGGTGTCTTGCTCTTCGGGCCGCCCGGCACGGGCAAGACGCTCTGTGCGCGCGCCGTCGCCAACCGCACGGATGCGACGTTCATCCGTGTCATTGGCAGTGAGCTGGTGCAGAAGTACGTCGGCGAGGGCGCACGCATGGTGCGCGAGCTCTTCGAGATGGCGCGCACCAAGAAGGCATGCATCATCTTCTTTGACGAGGTGGATGCCATTGGCGGTGCACGATTCGACGACGGTGCAGGAGGAGACAATGAGGTGCAGCGGACGATGCTCGAGCTCATCAACCAGCTCGACGGCTTCGACCCGCGCGGCAACATCAAGGTGTTGATGGCGACGAACCGGTGCGTGTCCTCTTCTCTCTCTCGAGTTCATGCCCCATCTCTCGCCTGCGTCGCTCACCCTCCCTTCGTCCTGCCAGGCCCGACACGCTCGATCCCGCCCTGCTACGGCCCGGCCGTCTGGACCGGCGCGTCGAGTTTGGCCTGCCCGACAACGAGGGCCGCGCGCACATCCTGCGCATCCACGCGCGCAGCATGAGCGTCGAGCGTGACATTCGCTTCGACCTCATTGCGCGTCTGTGTCCCAACACGACGGGCGCCGAGCTGCGCAGCGTCGCCACTGAGGTGAGTCGCCCCGCGAGCTGCTGCATGTATGGCGCAATGCTGACGGAGCGAGTGCAACAGGCGGGCATGTTTGCCATCCGTGCACGGAGGAAGATGGCGACGGAGAAGGACTTTCTCGAGGCCGTCGAGAAGGTGGTGCGGCAGGGCAGCAAGTTCTCCAGCACGGGCCTGTACGCGCAGGTGAGTGGTTCGAGCGTGTGGCTGGTATGTGTGTGTTGCTGCTGTGTGCTGACAGGAGCGGTGTCGCGCAGTACAACTGAGCTGGCGAGATGGGAGGGCGCTGCTGTATTGTCATCGCTTGCTTGTGCCTTATGTGTGTGTGTGCACCGCCGCGGATTCCTGAGCTTGCATGCTGCCTGCTGGCCGTTGTGAGCTTTGCCTGCTGTCGGAACCTGAGGCTGAGCGGACCTCCAGCGCGCACACGAGATGCTAGTAGCCGGGGCGCAGCAGAGCGGCGGTGCACTTTGTGTTGCTTGCCACGCGACGCGATGCGCGCGCCGAGGGCTGCATTCATGCGCCGCGCACCTCGCACGAGCGTCACGTCCACATCTTCCTCTGTCCGCGTCCACTGGCACCACCTCGCTCGCTCGTCTCTCACGCTTGCGGCTTCGCCCCTCCCTCGGCTCGCGCTCGCTCTCATCGCGCTCGCAGCGGCGTCGCCGCAGCGCCACAGCGCCGCAGCGATGGCCTCGCCCGAGAGCGGCGGCGCGACGCCGGGGCGCGCACGGCCTGCGACGCCGCCCACAGGCACTGCTGGCGCCGTCTCCTCGTCCCTCAGCAGCGCCCGCACTCCCACACGCAGCGGCAGCATCCCCGAGGTCGTCATCTACGTCTCGCCCAGCAAGTCGTCGCGCCGTCCTCTCCCGCTGGGGCGCGCCTCGAGCAGCAGCCAAGGCAGCACTAGCCGCAGCGGCAGCGCACATGTGCCGCTCCCCGCCTCGACGCCCATGTCCAGCGGCCTCTCGTCGCCGCCGCCCGAGAGCTCGGCGCAGTCGTCTGTTGCGGTCCTGCCGTCGCTGAAGCGCAGCCGCGCCGCCGACGCCTCGCCGGCGCCCGCTCGCCTCTCGGCCGGCGACTTGGCGGCGCGCTTCCGAGCCCAGGCGCAGGAGCGCGAGCTGGCAAAGAAGAAGCAGAATGGCGCCGCCACCAGGCCCACGCCCGGACGTGCACGACGCACAGCGGCAGCAGCGGCTGCGGCACTGGCGTCAGACTCGGACGAGGAGCTGCCGGATCTCGACGTGAGCATGCTACAGGCTCCCTCCTCCTCTGCCGCCGCCGCAGCCCTGGCAGCTCGGCAGCTCGAGCTCGAGCGGCGCTCGCACTCGCCCAGCGCCAGTCCCGACTACAGCTTCGGCGTGCGCGCCAAGCGCAGCACGGCCAAGGCCGACGCATACAGCTTCAAGCTGGCCCTCGTGCGGCCCTCGCAGCGCCGCATCGACAATGCGCGCATCAAGGAGAGCGCCGCCGTGCAGGCCGGCCTGGTGGAGGCACGCACACTCAAGACGAAGCCGGTCGACGAGGATGCGGTGGAGATGCGTCGCATGCTGACGCAGAAGAAACGTCTGCGTGAGCGCGGCATAGGCGATGCGTCTGAGCTCGACGAACTGCTGCGTCAGACGCGCGCCGAGTTTGCGCGTGCGGATGGAGAGAGCGATGCAGACAGCCACGCCAGCGCGCCGAGCCGTCCGCCGAGCAGCGACAGCGAGGAGGAACGCATGGAGCGCGCTTTACTGGCCGCGCAGAGCGAAGATGAGGAGATGCAGGAGGACGCCCTCGGGGGCGCTGGCAGGGCACAGGCGCATGCGGCGATGGCCATTATCAAGAAGAGCAAGAGCAGGCCGCGAGAGCAGACGGAAACAACCCAGTTCCGCTTCTGGACGTCTGAGGCAGCTGTGAGTCTGGACTCGAGGTAGCGCCGTCCCTGAGAGCTGCACTAAGCTTCTCGTCTTTCGCAGGCAATCGCGCCGCCGGCGTGCCCGGCCCTGGACGCGAACAATGCGCTCGATGCCCGACTTGTCGCTGCTTCGAGGCTGCCCAGTGAGCGCTGCTCCTCAACCCGCATCATGACATCCGCTCATGTGTCCCTCTCCAGCATTTGATCGCCTGGCTGCCATCCTTCGCAGCGGTATCCTGCGTCAGCGCGGCCTCTTTCATCAGGTGTCCGACTCGCCAGAGTCCTCGCGCCGCGGCTCGGACAGCTCACAGATGCTGGCCGACGAGGAGCGTTCGCCCGTCGTGCTCGCCACGTGGCTCTTCCAGCTGGCCGTGCACAGCGCCGACGCCACGCTGGCGGCCTCAGCATGCTCCGCGCTGCGCGACGTACTCGCTGCGGACGCGGAGCTGCTCGCCGGAGACGTGCCGTCGCCGTCGCCCGAGACGCAGACCAGCCTCGCTGTCCTTGCACTCCTCGCCTCGTTGCCTGCTTCTTTCACGGCTCTAGGCGCCTCGCGCGACGTGCTCGCGTTGTGCCTCGAGTGCTCGCCGAGCGACATCAAGGATGCGGCAGCGTCAGATGGTGTAAAGCGCGGCGCGGATCGGGCACAGGCCGTCATGCAGCTGCTCGACGTGCTCGAGCTGATCAATGAGTGAGTGCCGTCGGGAGCGTTTCATTGACACTGGCTGAATGCAGAACAGACTGCCGACGTCTGTATTGCTTGATCCCGAGGTGACTACAGCACGCCACGACGCGGCACTAGCGCTGCTCTGCATGCAAGCCGATGCCGAGCCACACGCCCTCTCTCTGCGTCTGCCGCAGATCCTTCCCGTCCTACTCAAGCCTCGAGCACTGCGCACAGGCGAGCGTGCACTGGCAGGCGAGGCGGCGATTTGTGCCAAGGTGCAGCAGGTGCTCGCCGTTTCGGACGTGCAGACTTGCCTGCGCATCGTGCGTGCCCTGCCGGACATCAAGCCGCGCGCCCGCATCGTTCGCGCATGGTGTGCGTGGAAGTGCCTGCTGCGCGACGCCGAAGCGGCCGAGGTGAGTTTCGTGCTGTTTGCGCCCTCACACAGGATGTGCTGACGTCTGCCATAGCCGCTCTCTTCGCCCGTGCTGCCGCTCGAGTCGATGTTGAACCTCGGCCGCGCCTCGCCGCTGCTCGTGCACGCCGCACAGGGCGCGAGCGCAGACGGCGACGCAGACGAGGACGACTATGCGGCGCTGCGGGAGCGCGTCTGTCTCCTCGAGCTGGCGCTCGCCGATCTGCCGCTGCAGCTGTGCCTGTGGGAGGAGGTGCAAGACGACGACGAGGAGCGTACATCTGCGCGTCCAGCGTTCGAGGCTGCGCTCGAGCCTTTCAAGGAGGCCCTCGCATCCGCAGACGGCGTCCTGCGACCCTCTAGCTCACGCGTCGAGCTTATCGAACAGCTCGTGACGGCGCTGCGCGAGGCGAACGCCGGCATCGTCGATGGTCGAGGTGCCTTTCTGGCTCGCAGCCAGACGAAGGACGCCATGCAGCGCCTCGAGCTCAGCCTGCGCTATCGCCTCAACGCCCTCGTCGGCCAGGAGGTCGATGCGCGGCGCTCGCAGCAGGCGCGCCTGAGCGACATGTGGGCGGCTGCGGCTGCGGCCTGAGGCGAGTCACGACCTAATGATATACCCCTGCGACACTCGCGCGTGTCTGAGTGACGATGGTATCAGATTGCTTCGCCTAGATCCTCGTCGTCGTCCATGCCAGGCGGTGCAGACGCTGCCGCTGGCGCAGCCGGCGCTGTCCGGCTCGCAGGCTGCTTCGCTGACGAGGCCGCTTGCGCCAGCTGAGGCGTGTTCGTCGCAGCTCCTGCTGCTTCGGCTTCGCGAGACGGCCGACTGGGCCGCTGCAAGCGCAAAGGCAGCCAGCTGAGGTCCCTCGGCTCTGCCGCACCGCGAGGCTTCTCGGCCGCGCGGGCCACGATGGCGCGCTGTCGGCGTGTGAGTGGCTTGCCGGAATGAGGGCTGCGTAGCGGCAGGACGATGGCTGTCGAGTCGGCCGCGGCGCCTTGCAGAGCCGCATACATGCCGCATAGGCCCTCATCGCTGGATGAGTCCGGCCCGTACAGCACAGTGCAAGTGTCTGCCGCGACTTTCGCGCAGAGCGAGAGCTGCACGACGAAGAGCGGCGCAAATGTCGGCGCTGGCGGCGTGCGCAGGTGTGCTGTGAGCTGCCTGCATGAGGCGAGAGGACTGTGAGCGAAGGCCGGCCCGATGCAGCTTGTGTGTGAGAGACGCACGCAAATGCCTTGCCGGCGCGATGCTCCACTTCGAGGAGCAGCAGCGCAAGTCGAAGGACGTGGTAGGCAGCGACGGCACGTTGTCGAGTCGCGTCTGAGCTTGAGGCCTCGCTGCGGATGCAATGTCAGCTCGTGCCGGTCTGCACCGTCCGCCCGCCCTTCGCACCACTCACGCCTCGCGCATCGCCGCCCTGGCCTTGCGTACTGCCGTCTCGGCGGATGGCACCCTTGCCAGTGCCGTCCGCACAGCCTCGACGGCGCGGAACGGCCTCGCCGCGGCGTGCTGCGCGTGGCTCTTGTATGCGATGCGCCCGAGCAGCGCCGCGTGTGCCGCGAGCGGCTTGAGCGCCTTGAGTGCTGCGGCGCCTGATGCGGCGGTCGCCATCTTGAGGACTGGTGGTGGTACGGCGAGAAGGATGGGCCGCGGCACTCGGCCATGCCCCATGCACGGCAAGCCACGTGGCCGAGCAGCGCTGCCGCTGCTTCCGCTCCGCCGGAGCTTTTCTGCGCCGCCCGTCCCGAATTCGTGGCGTGTGCAGCCGATGACGTGGGAACTGAGCAGGCGCTTGCGCCCTCCGACCGCCCGATCACGCGCAAAGGCAGCCTTCATGCTGCTCGAGCTAGGCCGGCAAGACCCGCGACCGTGCAAATGCAGCATGGCCACTTCGGCAGCGCCCCTTTCATATTGCAGAGGCGGCCCAGGCTCTGTCGCCTGAAGCCGAGTCGCCAGCCAGGGCGCAGCGCATCACCCTGCACACCGGCCTAGCGCAGAGTCTGGCCCTGCAAGAAGCAAGCCGGCATCGGTGGCGCGGCACATGGCGAGATCAAGCTCGAGCCGCTCGCATCGTCCGGGACTCGTCCGTTTGGAGCTGAGCAAGGCGACAGCGGCGACGTGCACGCCTCGGTGCTGCGCTGCAGGCTGTGCGGCACCGCATGGCGTGTGCGGCACCGTCACTCGCCTCAGCACCGCTGTGTCGGCTCGGTAGGGCAGCCCATCAGCCTATCAGCGCCCACGCTCACTCGAGGGTGCTCAAACGCACGCTCGAATGCACGCATGACCCTCTACATTCCGCCCTAGACCCCGCTCTTGCTTTGCTCGGCGTGGGCAAGGACGAGCTTGGGCGCTGATGCCGCGCTGCCGTCGAGCAGTGTGCACTGTGGCAGCGCTCGGGAGGCCCCGCTTTGCTGCCGTACGCATGAGAGCACCCGGCTGCGGCGGTTTGCAGCCTGAGCGGCTGCAGCAGCTGCAGGCGCCGGCCTGCGGTGGCTGCACAATCGCCTCCCCGCCCCAAAGCAGCGCTCCTGCCGACGATGAGGCACTTGCGCCGCATCAGCCATCGGGCTGCGGCCTCTTGCCCGGACCGGCGGCTGCGCCACTGCGTCTGCGCGCGAGGTGCGGCGGCTGTTGAGCCCGCCGCCGCTCCCGCCTCACGCCTACGCCTCCCGCACGGCGCATGATTCATGCCGAGCGCTTGGCCGCGCCTAGCCTGAGAAAGCGCAAAGGACCCGAGGGCGCAACGTGGCGCAGGCGCGCAAGACGCAGGCGGCAGCGGCAGCAGCGTAGAGGGCCTGCACCTGCTGCTGCCGAGATGAAGCGCGGCGCCGTGCGGCAGGCGGGTAGCTAGTCGCAGGCTCGGCTAGGCTCGGCCGCTGTCGTTCCGCTGTTCTGGGTCCCGCACGCTCGCGAGATGGAGACTTGGCCCGAGCGCCGGGATGCGGTATGCTGCACCGTGCGCACCTCTGAGCTGCTGCTGCTCTGGCTGCTCTCTGCAGTCACTGTCAGCGGCTACTACTGAGGGTTCAGCGCAGCATGACGGCACCTGCGTCATTTTCATCCTCGCTCAGGGCTCGTCGAGCAGCGACGTGGAGGAGCGCAGAGCTTTGCCGCCGCCGCTGCGCCGTCGTCATGTCAACGCGTCGCGCATCCGACGGCTTGAGAGGAGCACCCTCGACCCAGAAAGACGCGCCTGATCGGGCACGGGCATCTGATACCTCGTCGGAGCTGGAGCTCGGCGAGCAAGGAGTAGCATGCTGCACAGCACGACAGCAGCGCAGCGGACCGTACCGCACGGCAGGCAGTGGAGCAGAGGCGCAGAGGACGTTCGGGCCGAGGCCGCCGAGCAAGCGCAAGGCGGCGACACACGCACGAGGCCCGCGCCGCCGGCAGCGCCGTGGCCTCGCACGCACGCCGCGAGAGTGCCGCGTGGTCTGAGCGGGCGGGAGGGTCTCGAAGTCTGCTGCTCGAGTGCCCAGGCCGGAAGATCTGCCGTGCGGACGTCCGAGCGCTCCTTCATTTGGGCATATTTCATCCGGCTGTGACAGCACGCAGCTCGGCGATGTCTGCTGGGGTGCTATTGATCCAGCAGCAGCTCGCGCTGCATGGATGCTGCCTCGGCCGCACCTCGATGCTGCCATCTCACTCGGCCCAAGCTTTGTCACCCTGCTCACGCTGCAGCGTGCTCCGTTGGGACGTTCGGGGGCGCACGTCCGTGCGCAATACGAATGGCGCCTCGGAGCGGCATTCTCGCATGAGCACGAGGAGAGGATGCTCTTCATGCGGCGCACGGCGGCGGAGCAAGCCTCGGCCAGGCACGCCGCCGCGGCGGGCTCCCAACTCGCCGCGCGGAGGTGCACGCGGTGCAGCAACGGGCGGCCCAGAAAAGCGCTTCTCGGAGCGGGCACGAGGGCACGGGGACAGCATCTCGGGCCAGAAGCAGGCGCAGCTGCAGGCACCCCAACTCGAGAGCGAGTTGCGGCCGCATGCGCTATGCCGCTGCGCCGCCAGCGCTCCCGAGGCGCGGCCGTGCTGAAACCGCCGCCGCCGGCGCGTGCTCACGCCACGGCGCGTCTCTCGCGCACCGCTTCAGATGCCGCAGCCTGATCGCAGCCGCGCAACGCAGGTGGCGCAGATGTCAGCTGTCGCTGTCGCTCCTCTTCTCTCGTCGCACGTCCGTGCCCACCTTGCCTCACCACCTCCACCACCCCTCATCCCGTCCCCACCTGTCCACCTGGACCCCTTCCCTCCCACCCCGCCCTTCCTCATCCGACCCGCACTCGCACTCGCACGCATACCATCTCCCTCGCCAAGGCTTCACAGCCAGCTCCACGGCTCTCGCGCTGCTCTTTCAGCACTCGGCTTCTCCTTTCACTTCCCTCGCAGCGCGTCTCGAGGCGCCTGCATCCACCAGTTCGGCAGCCGCTCGCCTGCCCTTTCGTCCTCGAGCTCGCCGGTCTGCCGCGCCTCGCGCAGCTCTCTGCGCCCACGGGCCAGCAGAGCGCTGCTACGGCGCCAGCCCAGCGCGTCCGTCGCGAGGCTTGACAACGTAGCAGTGGGCTCTCTTTGTCTTTCATCGCACAGCTCTAGGATCGGGGACAGGAGGGGAGCGGCATCGTAGCATCGGCACCTCGCATTCAAGCACCACAAGTCTCGGACTCATCGACTTCTCTCGGCATTTCAACACCTCGTCGCCACCTCATCCATCCTCATTCCTCAAGCAGTTTCAAGGCATACCTCTCCACCTGCATCTTCCGCGTCAGCACACGCCCATAGTCTCTCTCGCATTCCCACCTCATTCTCCTCGGACTCTCTCTCGCATCTCTCTTCTTCGCACGTCACCTCTCTCACAAGCATGGAGCCGTCGCCGTCGCGCTGGGACGCGTTGCGCTCGCGCTCGCGCTCCGGCAGCAGCGCGGCCTCGGCGTTCGAGTCGACGCGCAACAGCGGCAGCGGTGCTGGACCGTCTCGTCAACGCACCGTCTCCGCGACGCCCTCTGCTCCGCCCGTCGAGTTTGACGTCGAGCAGTTCGCCAGTGCCGCTGTCGGCCGTCTTCGCGCACGCTCGGGCCTCTACCGCCGTGTCTCGCCGCCGCCGACGCAGGAGCCGCCGCCGCCCATCGCCGAGCCGCTCGTAGGCGTCTCACCGCCGCTGCACAGTCCGCCGCAGAGCGCACTGGCGCCGCCTGCCAATCCCAACGAGGAGTTCGCGCTGCGCCTCAGCGCTGTCTACGCCCCTACGATCGCAGCGTCGGCCAACGAGGAATGGTATGGCTTCTACGACCCGTCGTTCTTCGGACCAGCCGAGGAGCCGAGACGTGCTAGCCGAGGTGAGTTGGCATCGTCGCTGCGGCTACATGCGCCTTTGAACGCTTGGGGAGGAGGAGCGCCGGCGGCACGCGAAGTGTCAGGGGCTTGATGAGTTCGATCTCGTAGACATCACCGTGATGTGATGCGCGTCTGGGCCAGGGCGAGGACCGTGCGGCGAGAGCGTTTCGCACGACGCTTGCGCGTGACATGTGCTTTCCTGCGCTCCTGCTTCTGCGTCTACACCACGGTGCCCCGCAGCCAGTTTTTGGAGACCGCATTCGAGCCGTGCTGGAGGCAAGGCTTGCTCAGCATGATCGACTGCGGCGGCGGGCAGAGCCGCTCTAGGAGAGCCGCCGCCATGAGCTCGTGCGCCGCCGCCGAGAAGTGGCCGCCGATGCCGTGCGGTGTTCTGCAGCAGGCGAGCAGCAAGCGGCGGGGCGGCTTGCGCTTCCGAGAATAGAGGGCTCCTGAAGAGGGCGGCAAGAGGCGCGCCTCCTGAAGATCGTCGCCGCTGCCCGCTCTGCTGCTGCGCCTGGAGCTCGGTCTCTTCACGCTGTCCTGGCACCAGGAACGATCTCATGATCAGGCACCGGGCGACCTTGATGAGTCGCACGGAGAGTCAAAGACGGAGAGCAGCACGGCCGCTGTGTCCCGCCGCTGATCAGTGGCGGCGGCAAGAGGCGGCGGCCCGCTGCCGTATGTGCGCTTGCGGGACTCGACCAATCTGTAGCATCTGCGGCTGGCCAGCGGGCAAGCTCGGCAGTGCTCTGTTTTCGATGCGACGGGCACGCACCGAGTGTCCTCTGCGGGTCCGGAAGCTCTCGGTCGCGTGCTGGCGGGAGAGCGAAACGCCCTCTGCCGACGTCTCTCGCAGCCGCTCCTTTGCTCCGCCACATCATGCCTGCTCGCTGACCCTTCTGCTCTCTCCTCCCTCCCTTACCCCTCCCGCTCGCGGGTCTCCCTTTCTCCAATCCTCCGGCATCCCTCTCCCCTGCCCTAATTATCTCGCGCGGACACTCATCTGCCCCGGATCTCTACAACCACCATCAGCACGCACGGCGACCAAGAGCGCGACGCTCATCGAGGAAGGCGACGTCGGCGAGCGTGTCAAGCAGCTCGACTCGCCTCGCAGTCCCGCAGTCAGCCCGTTTCCAGAGCTCGTGAGCGCGCAGCACGTGGCGCCAAAGGCACGCAAGGATCTCGGCCGCGGCAAGCCGCGCGCAGTGCACTGGCAGGCTCAAGACTCCAAAGACAAGGACACGGACGCCCGGCACGCACTCCAGGACGGACGGAGCGGGCAGCAGGAGCACCAACCTCGGACCGGACAAGCTTCCTCTCCCGACGTGTATTTCCCAGCGATGTCGGTCGTCTCCAAGGTGCGCCCGAGTTGCTTGTGCCGTGCCGCTTCGCGCCTCGCTGACCCATCGCTCCCAGACCTCGCCGACGATGTCAAAGGCGGCCGGTGGCGCCGAAGTGGGCAGTCTCGCGCTGAGCTCGTCGGCGACGGCCAAAGCCAGCGATGCCGCCGGCGGCGCGCTGTCCCGTGCTCGTAGCCTCGGCGCTCTCCTCGAAGGCGAGTCCGGCTCTAAGGCAGACGACGCGACAGGCCGACGCCGCAGCGCTGCCGTCATCGACGGTACCGATCTTCTTTCGTCGGAACATGGCGGCGCCAAGGGCACTACCAGCCAGCCCTCCAAGGCCGATGGTGTCGGCTCGCACAAGCGCACCGAGAGCGCGTCTCTTACGCGCAGCGAGACAACCGACCTCCCCTCGCCGACGCAGTCGCTGCGCATCGCAAGCACTCCCGCGCAGTCGTTCTTCCCCGTCGAGAGCGACGTCGGCATGCAGTACCCGACGACGTACCGCAGCGAGGCCAAGCCGCTGCTGCGCATGGCGTCCGCGTACCCCAGCAACTACCCGACGGCCGCGCAGGAGCCCTCGCCGCTGCAGTATCCCGGCAGCGCTGATCTCGGCGGCGTCAATCTCGCCGGCCTGCAAGGCGCTTCAGGCGCAGAGTTCCGCACGGGCGGTGAGTGGTCACGCTGATCGACAGCAGCTCTGCGCTGACACCACAACGAACATTGCAGACTGGATGTGCATCTCTGCTTCGTGCTGTGAGTGCTGCGTAAGACGCTTCGCCGTCAGACCTGCGGCTGATCAGGTGTTCCTCCTCCAGCGTTCCACAACTTTTCGGTGAGCATCTCTGCTCCGCTCGTGCCGTCGTCCGCACTGACCACCGCGCAGCGCAACACTCACTGCTTCGGCTGCGGATCCGCCAAGCCTAGCTCTGGCCCGCCGACGGCCACTGCAGCGCGCCTCGCTTCGCCACCCAGCATGCACGCGAGCCAGCAGCAGATGCCCAGCTACCATGAGTCCGGCCGCTTCGCCAGCTACGAGCAGCCGATGTCGGTGCACGGCGCGCAGCGCGGCCGGCTGGCCTTCGACTTCCTCAACAGCACTTCGGTGCAGACGCCGCAGCAGTGGCAGGCGCCGACGCCGACCATGGCACCGCCTCAGGCCAACGTTCTGCAGCAGATTGCCCACCACATCCAGCAGCAGCAACAGCAGCAGCAGCACCAGCCGCCGCCGCCGCACCAGCAGCATCTCGCGTCGATGCACGCGCATCATCCGGAGCCTACGCCTCAGCAGCTGCACCAGCAGTACGTGCAGCACCAGCAGCAGCAGCTTCATCAGCAGCTCGCGCAAGAGCAGGCCGCACGCGAGCAGTCGCACAGCCGTCTAGCCGACCGCGCCGGCAGCTGGCGTAGTCGCCGCGTCGCCGATCTGGTGTCGCACGACGTGCCCTCGTCGTCGGACAGCGGCAGTGCGCGCGGCAGCTTCGGCGCCGGCTCGATGCCTCTGATGCTCAATCCGGGCAGCGCGCAGCCGCCGCCGTCGAGTGCTGCGAGCGGCATGCTCTCCAGCGCGTACCAGGGCCCGGCGGCCGGCATGCGCGAGAACTTCGCTCGCCTGCCGACGCCCACCGGCGCCAGCCACACGCCGCCCGCCTGGGATCCGGCCGCCATTGCGCCACTCGCCTCGGCCGCGCAGCTGGCCAGCATGGGCGTGCGCATCGGACCCGGCGTCAATCCGCACGGCACGAGCACGTCGTCGAGCCGCCCTTCGACGCAGCCGCCCATCGTCAACACGGGTAATCTCGGTCCCATGTGCGTGCAGCCGGGCGACTGGGTCTGCTCGACGTGCTCCTTCGTCAACTGGCGCCGCCGCCGTGTCTGCATGCGCTGCTTTCCGTTCGCCGAAGGCAACGAGGTCTCTGCGTCGCTCGCCAGCGGCGCTCTTGTCGCCGCCCAGCTGGCAGCCGGCATCGAGCCCAGCGCTGATGCGCTGGCATCTCTTGAGACGCCTCGTCGTGGCGGCGCGACCACCGGCGGCAGCAGCGGCGGAGCAACGGCCGGACAGTCGGCGCACGAGAGCGGCACTCGCTCGCGCACCGCTGTTGGCAACACCTCTTCGCTCGGCCTGACCGGCCTCGGCCTTCCGCCGCCGCATCCGCCGCAGCAGACAGCTGTGCCGACCACGAGCAACTCGGCGCACTCGACCATGGTCGCGACGCTCGAGGAGAAGCTGCGCGAGCTCAAGCTGGCCGCTGCCGGTGCTGCGCTTGCCTCGTCGGGCTCGGCGTCTGCTCAACCGGCCGCAGCCAGCCGCCGCGACTCTGCGAGCGACGAGGCGCAGTCGCGCTTCAACGTCACGGCCAGTCCATTTGCGCCGCAGCCCATCGGCACCGGTCGCAGCCCTTGGGGCGGCTCCGCGCGTCCCAAGTCCCAGCCTCGCGAACAGGCGCTCGTCGACGGCTCGCAGCGCAGCTCGCCCTTCGTGCCCGACCCCAGCTGGCGCTCGCGCAACGTCGGCGCCATCGGCTCGCCGCCCACGACCAGCGGCCCAGAGATCAAGCACGACTCTGCGCCGCTGCTGCGCACTCAGCCCGGCGGTGTAGTGCACGAGCTGCCGCGCCGTCCTGACGAGGCAACGACGCGCGCTGCGACGCCCGGTGGCTCTGGCGCTTCGCTCGGCCAGCGCATCTACGCCGGCGGCCAGACTGTCGACCTCAGTCTGCTGCAGGCTGGCGCCACCGCCACAAGCGAGGCGTGAGCCGCACTCGCCATCCTCCATTCTTAGGCCGCCTACATCCGCTAGGCAACCCGATCGAGCATCACGACCTCCTCCACGTCTTCTCTTCCGCACATCCACACACATCAACTCACGCACTTTCACGACTCTCGCCGGTCTCATTTCGCCGCTCTCGGCGGCGCCGGCCGGCCCCTCAGCTCCTCGGGCGCGCGCTCCATCTGCCTCTGCGGACGCGGCCCCATCCCGGTCTTGCTCTTCCTCCTCAAATATCTTGCCGCACCTGGCTGCGACACCTTTTCTTCTCCGACCCGCTGCTTCCTCGTACACCCTTTCCGGGCCCGGCTCTCCGGCACGGCAAGAGGTCCGAGAATGCTGTCCTCCTTCGCTCCGCTGTGGGCCGACCGGCAGCTCCTCTCACACCCACTGCGTGATGTTCTCCCTTGTTTCCCCTTAGAGGAGGGCGTGTATCGCGGCTCGCTGCGTGCGCCATACGTAGTGTGAGCGAAATGATCACGCTATTCGTCACGAGATGTAGAGAGTGAGGATGTGGGAGAGAAGCGAGCGATGGGAGGAGCGAGCGGCGAGCGGCGAGCACGCTGCTTCCTTGCGCTGCTCCCACGCTCACCGCGCACATCAACACGCCGCGCCACCTTCACGCGTCGAACTGGAAGCCGTGCGCGTCTCTCATGCCGCCTCGTCGCTTCTCACCACCACACCCCACCATGTCACGGCCCTCGACGCTCCACTCCGCACGCGGCTCTCTCTACGCGCCCGCGCCTCCGCAGCCGCTCGGCTCCAGCGGCGGTGCGCCACCGCCGACGGGCGCAGCGGCGCGTCTGGCCGCCAAGCAGGCGGAGCTGGAGGGACTGAGGCAGCTGCGAGAGCAAAGCGCGCGGCTGGCGAGGGACGTCGAGGCGCTGGGCGATGGCATTGATCAGCTTGTTGGCGGAGGCGACGGTGAGTGTTTGCGTGTAGCTCCGCGAGGCGAGATACAGGCATGCGACATAGGCGAGAGAAATGGACGAGGCGAGAGAGGGCGATGAGGACGTGGACGCGCCGCCAGCAGGCCGGCGACGTGCCGCGCCAAAGCACATCGCGAGAGGCCCTGTGCGCGCAGCTGCCGTGTCTGGACAGGAAGAGAGCTTGCGTTGCCAGCAGAGACGAGCAGCGGAAAGCGGTGCTGCCGTGCCCGCAGCGACAGTGTGGGCGCGGCTGGATCCTGGCAACAGCGGCATAGAGGGCAGAGTGCGCGCGAGCAGCTCTCTGAGGATAGCAGGCGATCCAGCTGCAGTCTCTCGAGGCCAGATCGCTCGACAGTGCGGCACCACGTGCCTCTCAGGCGGCTCGAGAGCCGCAGCGCGGCGGCGCATCCAGCTGTCGCCGCCAGGCTTGCGAGCACAGGGCGCTGTCGTCACGTCAAGAGGACGCGGAGCGCTCGGTGTCACAGCTTGAGGCGTCACGCTTGGCGCTGTTGAGAGGCAGGAAGGCTCCAGCGGCGCCGTCGGCCTCGCCTTTCGTCGCTTCAGCTTCTGCAAGACAAGACTCGCCACTGACCATCCGCCATCTTCAGCCGTCGCCGCTGTCCTCTCCTCCTGGCAAGGCGTCTTCCGCGCGATTCAACTAGCTCGCGGTACGTCCCTGTCGCGCTCCACACGTCAGCACACCATCTGACCCCTTGCTCTGTGCGCCGTAGCATCGAGCACCGTCGCACCTTTGCCCGAGGGTGTTCCGCCGCCCGCGAACGAGCTGGAGGAGCAAGAGGCGGAGAGCAGACGCACGGTGCCGGAGACGCTCGTGCGCATTCCGGTCGAGGGCGCGCAGGCACGGCCCGAGGAGCAGTAGCTCCGCACTCTGATCCGCGTGCTGCGCTTCTGTTGTCCTCGCTCGCCCTCTCCTCCGTTACGCTCTCTCCCTGCTGTACACTAGGCCCGCCCGTGCGCATTGTAATCCTCTCGCTCGCGCTGACTTTCTGTGCGCTTTCCACGCAAGCGCTCCCTGCAAGCTCGGCAAGCACATCAGCAAGCCGCTGTGGGTGCGTGTGATTACTGCTGTGCCAGCAAGCAACTTTGAGGCTCGGCTCTTGCTGGATGGCAGTTGCACGAAGTCCTGTAGGCTTGCCGTTGCCCCGTAGCCCGGCACGCCCGCCGGAGACTCGCCGCCGCCGAGCTCGGCGTCTGCGCCCAACACGCCGGACGGATCCACCTTGCCGCCGCCGTGGCCCCTACAAGCCGGTGCTGGCGCAGCATTCCGTACTTCTCAAGACGCCGGGCAGCACGCTTACGGACGAATTCCAGACAAGCAGCGCCGCAAGCTTCAACGGCGCACTCGCCCGCTCCTTCTTGCGCAGCACGATTCAGCGGCGCAGCTGCTCGCACCGCCCCGCCCTGCACGCTGCGCAGACTGTACGAGAGGAGAACATTGCAATTCGCTTTGCGGGCGCTTCGCAGCCGACTCGCTCGACAGGGCAAGAGTGTCGTTTTGCGCGCCCGGCTTTGTCGCCTTCTCCCTCTCCCTCCACCAGGTCTAGCCACTGCTTTAGGCGTTGTACTGCAGAGAAGACCGGCGATCAGACAGAGCACGCGGGCGGGCGATGCAGCGCGAGACTCACCAGCTCCTCCTTCAGCGAGATGCCTGCAAGGGGACCAACAGTCAGCAAGGGGCCTTCAAGTAGGTAAGGAGTCGCACAGGCGCGAGCGCCCAGAGGACCCGATGCGATGCAGCGGCATTCGGCAGCGCACGTCGTCCAGCACTCCGGTCTTGCGGTCGCCAGACTGAGATGCTGCTCGCCGTTTGCCTGCTGCTTCCGACCCTCCTCTCGCATGGAACGCCGAGCACACACTCACCGAGCTCCTTGCGCACGTCGGCCAGCGCCTCGACGTACTGCTTGTACTGTCCCTCGTTCTCGACCTTCTCACGCAGACCCTCGAACACGCGGACGGCAGTGCTGTAGTCGTTGACGCGGCGGGCGGCGCGGAGAGCAGCCTCGACCACCTCGGGCGCGGGCACAAGGTCGTAGGCGAAGCAGTTGTTCAGGCCGCGCTGCAGCTCGAAAAGGTCCTCGACGGCGCCGAAGAAGGAGACGTAGCGCGAGGTGAAGGACTCGAACGTCTCGTCGTCGTGAGAGTGCGAGGCGTAGCCCCGGACTGTGAGCGAGCAGACGTGTCAGCAGCGCGTTGTGCAAGAGATGATGGGTTGATCGACGGACGAGGGGCCCGGCCTCTGCGCCAAGGCTCCGCTAGGTGCCGGCTCCGGTCTGCGCGCTCAAGCAACGCCGCAAGCTCGCGCGTCACCGGAATGCTAGCAATCGGCTCTCCATGTCGCGAGCACGGCAGCATACGCCTTGAAAGCCGTCGCCAGCGCAGAAAGGCCAGACTTGTCGGGAGTAGCGGCGAGCTGCAGCTTGAGTAGTTCGGCGAGCAATCTTCGGCAGCTGCAGCAGAGCGAGCAATCGCCAAGTCTGCCATAGTCCGGCTTCGTTGCCAGCGCCGCGCCCTCATTCGAGACCCATTCGAGGCCTGCAGCAGATGCTGGGCCGCTGGCCCCGCGCATCCACCGCCGCCGTGCGCCTGGCCCTGCGCCCTGCCGGCATGCACCATGCACCGCCCTCTGTGCCCGCGCAGTCTTCCTGATGCGCCAAACGTGACCTGCACATCGGCAAGCACAGCAGCGCAGCGCGGAAAGAAGCTGCCCTCGCTGTCCCCTTCCCATGCGCTCCACGGGTCCTGCGTCTTCGCAGCACGACGCACCTGCGGCGAAGGGCGCAGCGCGGCGCGAGCCGTTGAGGAGCGCGGCGCGGGCGGCGGTGCCGGCGGCGGCGGTGCGGATGGCGCCGGTGAGGAAGGACATGGCGGTGCGAGACGTGCGGAGCGGGAGAGGTGACGGTGGGGGATCGGCAGGAAGATGCGAATGCGCGCGGCGTGACAAATGCGGGCGCCGGTGCGATGGTGGAGCCGCGCCTGCCTGTGCGCCCGCGTGCCCTGCAGCAGCCCGCCGCGGCTCGATACGGAATGCACGCGGCACGTGCCGTCCGAACACAGGATGTGGCCGCGACTTCAGCCGCATTTGTAGTCGCACACTACAACGCCACGCTGCGCCGGTCGCCAGCGCACGCTCCTGCAAGCGCCGCCGCCGCACGGGCGCAGCTCATCGTCCGCAGCTTCTCCTCTCGCTCCACCACATCACACACCCCCACACGCCGCAGCCATGGGAGAGCAGGAGAGCCTCTTCCGCTCCGCGGCCATGAGCCTCGTGCAGCTCTATATCCCGCAGGAGGTGGCGCACGACACCGTCGACGAGCTGGCGCGCCTCGGCAACGTGCAGTTCAAGGACGTGCGTGGCAGCGCATAGAGCGACAGGCCTGCCGCACAGCTGACCACTGTTCCTGCAGCTCAACCCCGACGTGACGCCGTTCCAGCGCTCCTTTGTGCAGCAGATCCGCCGTCTCGACGACATGGACCGCGTCATCCGCTTCCTGCAGGCGCAGATGGAGGCCGAGAGCGTGCCCGTGCGCCCGCTCGAGTCGGCGCTGCCCTTTGTCAACGGCGGCATGGGCGCGCAGCGCGGGCCCGCGCTCGTCGAGGAGCTCTCGAGCAAGCTGCGCCAGTACGAGTCGCGCCTGGGCGACATGAACGGCAGCTACGAGCAGCTGCAGCGCCGCCTCTTGGAGCTTGAGGAGGCGCGCCACGTCCTGCGCGAGACGGCCATCTTCTTTGAGCAGGCCGAGGGCCGCGGCGGCGCCGAGCGCACCAGCACCGACGACGCCAATGCGCCGCTGCTGGCCGACGACGACGTCGAGAGCCGCGCCTTTGGCCGCGGCGACGACAGCGGCTACGGCACGTTTGACCTCGAGTGAGTCGCTCAGCGCATGTGCTGCACTGCAGGGGCTGACCGTCTCGCAGGTTTGTCGCCGGCACGATTGAGCGCTCGCGCATGGCGACGTTTGAGCGCATCCTGTGGCGCGTGCTGCGCGGCAACCTGTACATGAACTACGCCGAGATCGAGGAGCCCTTCTCGGACCCGAGCAAGGAGGGCCCTGTGCGCAAGAATGTCTTCATCATCTTTGCCCACGGCGCCGAGCTGCTGGCCAAGATCCGCAAGATCAGCGAGAGCATGGGCGGTGCTCTGTACCCCATCGACTCGAACGCCGACAAGCGCGAGGAGAGTCTGCGCGAGGTGACGAACCGCATCGAGGACCTCAACAGCGTGCTGTACTCGACGAGCGCCACGCGCCGCACCGAGCTCGTCAAGGTGGCCGAGAGTCTCTCGGCGTGGGCCGACGTGGTGCGCCGCGAGAAGCTCATCTACGCCACGCTCAACCTCTTCAACATCGACACGGGCCGCAGCACGCTCGTCGCCGAGGGCTGGTGCCCGACCAGCGGCATCGGCTCGATCCAGCTCGCCCTCCGCCGCGCGACGGAGAACAGCGGCACGAGCATCTCCTCGGTGCTGCAGGTGCTGCGCACCAAGCAGTCGCCGCCGACGTACCACCTCACCAACAAGTTCACCGAGGGCTTCCAGGCCATCATCGACGCCTACGGCTTCGCCACGTACCAGGAGGTCAACCCGGGCCTCTTCACCGTCATCACGTTCCCCTTCCTCTTTGCCGTCATGTTCGGCGACATCGGCCACGGCACGATCATGTTCATGGCGGCGGCGGCGATGTGCATCTACGAGCGCCCGCTGGCCAAGGCCGGCCTCGGCGAGGTGAGTTGGCGTCCCTGACGCACGGGTGTGCTACAATGGCTCACCGCTTCTTCAACTGCAGATCTTCGAGATGTTCTTCTACGGCCGCTACATCATCCTGCTCATGGGTGCCTTCTCCATCTTCACCGGCTTCCTGTACAACGACGTCTTCTCCAAGTCGATGCACCTCTTCCACCCCGGCTGGGAGTGGGTCAAGAGCGGCGGCGCCGGCGACATTCTCGAGGCGCGCTCCACGGGCCACGTGTATCCCTTCGGCCTGGACCCGACGTGGCACGGCGCCGACAACTCGCTCGTCTTCACCAACTCGCTCAAGATGAAGATGTCGATCATCCTCGGCGTGGCGCACATGACGTTTGCCATTCTGCTGCAGGTGCCCAACGCGCTGCACTTCCGCAAGTACAGCGACATCTGGACGACGGTGGTGCCGCAGATGCTCTTCATGCACTCGCTCTTCGGCTACCTCGTCGTCATGATCTTCTACAAGTGGACGACGGACTGGTCGGCGCGCGACGCCGCGGGCAACCTGCTGCACAACGGCCCGCCGGGCCTGCTCAATACGCTCATCTACATGTTCCTCAGCCCCGGCAATGTCGACGACGACAAGACGCTCTACAGCGGCCAGGCGTTTGTGCAGACGGTGCTGCTGCTCATTGCCGCCGTGTGCGTGCCGTGGATGCTGCTGGCGAAGCCGTACCTGCAGTACAAGGAGCACCAGGCCAAGCAGGGCGCCGGCTACCAGACCGTCGGCGACGACGACGAGGAGGACAACGAGGACGCCGGCGGCCACGACGACGGCCACGGCGGCGGCGGCGAGTTCAACGTCGGCGAGACGCTCATCTACTCGTCGATCCACACGATTGAGTTCTGCCTCGGCTGCATCTCCAACACGGCGTCGTACCTGCGTCTGTGGGCCCTCTCGCTCGCCCACGCGCAGCTCAGCGAGGTGCTGTGGACGATGACGATCCAGAATGTGTTTGGCATGACGGGCATCGCCGGCGTGCTGGCCACCGTCGCGGCGTTCGCCATCTGGTTCGCACTCAGCATCGCCGTGCTCGTGCTCATGGAGGGCCTCTCGGCCTTCCTGCACGCGCTGCGTCTGCACTGGGTCGAGGCGAGCAGCAAGCACTACATGGCCACCGGCACGCCCTTCCGGCCGCTGACGTACGACGAAGAGTAGAGACGCCCACCAAGCCCACTTCCCAGGCACGCCTCTCGGCGCGGAATGACACTCTCAATGAAGGTGCGATGCGGAGTGCATGAGCGGCTTAGCCGCGCCCGATCATCGATGGCATCTTGGTCGCCTGAGTCGCGCAGTGTGAGCAGTAGGTTCAAGCTCGGGTAGCTCACGGCAACGCACCTGGATGGTGACGAACTGCACGTTGACAGAGAGGGGCATCTCGGCAATGTGGCTGCGGGGTGTGGTCGCGTGAGCTGGGCTGCTACGCGGGAACACGCTGCCGACGCTGCTTCGGACCACGCACACCACCTCGCGCGCCGCATGCTCGCGATCCATGACTGGCTCCTGACGCAGGGAGCCATCGGCCTGCCATCGTAGGAAGATCACTCAGTCTGGGCACAGCTCTCGTCCGCCTGCCCGGCATGCCACTGACGCACCTGCATCACCCCTGGTCCCGTACGCATCCGCTCCGTCATGTCGCTGCTGGCGTTGCCAATGTCGATCTGCGAGACGGCGATGTTGTGTGCCCTCCCGTCGAGCGCTAGGGACTTCGTGAGGCCCGTGCAGCCGTGCTTGCTTGCCGTGTCTGCGGCGCGGAGCAGATCAGCGCGCCTGCGATGGCAGGGGAGAGGCAGAGAGCTCACAGGGTGCCGAGTCTGCGGGGTCCCATGCAGCATCAGTCTCGCACTACGGCATCTGGAGCAAGCACGCCACTCACGAGGCCGAGGCACTGCAGCGCTGATGCTGCCATTGACAATGATCCTTCCTCCCTTGCCACCTCGCTCAGGCGACATGTACCGGAATGCCTCGCGCGCGCAGAGGAACGTGGCTGTCAGGTTCGTCGAGACGGCCTTCTGCTCGGTCCGTGTCAGCACATGCGAGAGGAGCGCGAGAAGGACGAGAAGGAACTACGCGCGTCGACGCACATTCCAATCGGCCAACGGCAGGTCAAACAGCGGCACGGCGGCAGTGCTGACGCCGGCGTTGCAGAAGACGAGGTCGATCTGGCCTGCATGCGTTGGATGCAGCCAACAGGAGGAGCGGAGCGAATGAGCAGAGGAGATGAGCTGGCTGAGCGGCTCATCGCTCTGCAGTGCAAGAGGTCTTGTGCTGTACGCACCGAGCTGCTCGTAGGCATGCTTGAAGAGCCTGTCCCGCCCCTCGTGAGCTTCAGCCCGACCATTCCCCTACGCCGAGACTCACGCAAGCACCGTCTCCTCGCTCGTGATGTCGCCGGCGAAGCTCGTCGCTTTCAGCGCCTGTGCACTCCCATCTGCGCTGCCTGGCTGCGCACGCATCAGGCGCAGCGTCTCCTCGAGCGCCTCTGCGCGCCGCGCCGTGATGCACACACTCCATCCCGCGCGGTGGAGCGCGAGTGCCGTGGAACGACCGATCTGCCCAGACGAGGCATCAGCATCCCCGTGCGATGTTTCGAAGCCGTGTGAGATGGGAGACGCACGCCGCTGGAGCCGCCGGTGCTGGAGAGGATGCATCAGTGAGGTGAAGTGGAGGCAGGGAGAGGCCGAACTCACACAATGGCGGCCTTGCCGGCTGGCGGGTAGGGCGGCACGCCGGCCAGCGCGTCAAAGTCGAGCGGCATGTGGATGTGTCTTGCTGCCGAGTGCTGCGCTGTGAGGACTGAAGGTCTGCGCGAAGATGCCAGTCCTGACTGAAGCTTGAGGTGGAGAGAAGGAAGACGCGGCGCTGCCCCGTGCGGGTCAGGCACCGGCGCGTGCGGGGAAAGCAAGCCACCTCGGCCACCGGCGTGCTTTGCCCGGATGCCGGAGCCGCCTGCACCTGCTCCGCTGGGCGAGCGTCGCTTGCTTGCGCTCCTCATCATCCCTCGGCTCCTTCTCAGCATGGCCTCCTCCTCCAGCAGCAGCAGCGGCAGCGCAGAGCCGTGGATCATCGATGCACACACGTGCGTGCGCCTGCCGCGCTTCGGCGCTGTTGCCTGCCGCTGACGCTCGCCCTCAGCCATGTCCTGCCCGAGCGGCTGGCGCGCAAGATCCGTGCCTTCTTCAACGCCGTCATTGCCGATGCCGAAGGCAGCGAGGTTGCCTCCGAGGCCGCTCCTGCCTCCGTCGCCTCGGCGTCCGAAGACGTCGCCGCGGACGCAGCCGCGCCGCCGCCGCACGCCTGCTGTCCGCCTGCGGCCGCGTTTGACGCAGAGTATGCGGATGCCGACGCGTTCCCCTCGCCCGGGAGACTCGTGTATCCCTACCACGAGTCCGATCCGAAGCTACTGGCCCAGTCCCTGCGCGATGCCGGTGCGTTGCTTCTGCCTCGCTATCCTTCTCTCTCCGCACTGACACGAATTCGAGAAGGCATCAAGGGCAGTTGGATCCTGCCGTATGCTCACAAAGCCGGCGTCGCAGCGCCGCTTAACGACGCGATCTTGAGCGTATGCACTGCACTTCGATCGCACGGCCAGTCGCCCATCGCAGGCCTCACTGCGCATCCCGATGACGGCGCCGACGCAGTGGGCGCCTACACACGGCGTGCCATCGCCGCCGGCGCACGCGTCGCCAAGCTGCACTGCTCCGTGGGCGAGTACAGCGTGCTGCACCCGGGGCTCGCGCCGTTCTGGGAGACCGTGGCGGCCGCGAGAGTGCCGGTGGTGGTGCATGCCGGCTCGCACGTGAGCGGCAACACTGCCTCTCCGGAGATGCGCGACATTGAGGAGGTGGCGAGGCGCTATCCTGAGGCAAGAGTCGTCATTGCTCATAGCGGCAGCCCGGCGGTGAAAGCTGCGCTGGAGGTGGCGAGACGATGCGGAAACGTGTATCTCGACACCACGCCGACTGGTGAGCCTCTCCCTCTCGTCCTCGCTTTGCACGCGGACGAGCAAGAGGGCTGATGGCGTGCCTCCACACACGCAGTGACTCGGCTGCCCCTCTTCCCGCCGCCAGGACATCCTTCGCACGCCTTCACGCTGCAGCTGGCGCGTGCCGGGCGCATCCTCTTCGGCTCCGACGTGCCCAACGTGGCCATGCGTCTCGAAGAGCAGATGGCGGGCGTCGTGCGCCTCTTCGGCAGCGACGCAGATCGCGCAGCGCTCGATGCGGGCCGCGACTGGACGGAGCTGGGCGTCAGCGAGAGGGGCGAGGGAGATGCGCTGGGAGAGGTGTTTGGACGAGCGGCGAGGCGACTTGTGGCGGGTGTGAGGGTGGAGAGGAAAGCGGGCTTGTAGGGCAAACAGGCAATCTAGTGTATTGAGTGGCACGTGGCGTGTACCCGCTGGAGCGTGGTGGGAAGCAGGAGGCAAAGAGGGAGCAAAGGAGAGCAGAGGCAGAGTAAAGACCGTGGTTCTTGCGTGTGTCGGTCTCGAGAAGGATCAGAACTTGCCTGCAGGAAGTGACAGGCACAGTCAGTCACAGGCCTGAGCAATGCACCACCAAAGGGGCCGTGGCGCAGACGCACCAATGGCCAAGTTGCCAATCATCTCGCGGCCCGTGATCCAGGCCGTCTGGATGAATGTGGGGAAGTCGAGCGTGCTGGAGAGGACGTCTGCGAGGCCAAAGGGCAGCATGGGTGGGATCCAGCCTGTGCCGAAAGAGCCCATCGTCAGCTCGAACGGAAGTTCAGTGAAGCACGGGGAAGAGAAAGGACGCACCCTGCGCCAGCTCCAGGGCCCAGCAGCCACTCTCGGGCATCATGTACTGCTTGACCTCGCCGCGGCGCAGGTGGTGCTGCGAGCCGGGCAGGTAGATCTGTGTGGCGGGCGCGAGCGGAGGCGAGCCAAGGCGCGAATGAAGAGAGAGGAGCGAGAGGTCAGGAAGATAAGCGAAGAGGCGAAAGAAGCAAGGACACACCTCGGGGTAGATGCCGTGTGCGGAGAAGGCACGCTGCTCGCCCGTCAGGATGTGGAAGTAGTCGTCGGCCTGGTCAGCCGGGTCGCTCTCGGTCAGCCAAAGCAAGCACACTGAGAGAGACACGCATCCGCACGCACCGTGTGCCGCCCCGTGTGGCCCTCGGTGCCGATGGGCGTGCCGAAGAAGATGAGGTACTGCGAAGGGCAATGCGAGTCAGCACCGGCTGGAGCAGCTCGCAAGCTCGCCAGCTGCAAGCTTGCATCTCGAGGAGAGCCCGCCTGCTAGCCAAGCTGCGGAGCTCCGCAATCTCACCTCCGTGATGGAGGCGTGCAGGATGTACATGCTGCCCATGGCGCCTGTGCGAAGCGCGAGTCAGTACGTGGCTCTTGCTTGCTCCGCTCCTTCCATTGGACGAGGATGTGCTACTACGGGCCGAAAAGCAAGACTGACGTCTACTCTCTCGTTTGCTCATGACTGACTCCCAAGGGCATCTGAGGCACGAAGATGCCCCTCGTCTCGTGGCCCGCGTCCGAGCTTGCTTCGCTGCAATCCCTGTGTCGGTCCTCCATTCTCCGTCCTGGCCGTGCTTCTCCTTTCGCGTCCACTCTCTCGCTCTCTGCTCCGCCATCACGCCCACTCACCGCCGGCATTGTTGAACATCCACTCCTCTTTCACCCTGAAGTCGCGCGTGTTGAGCGTGCGTGCAATCTTGTCGTCGTTGCGCAGCGCGTCGAGGATCTCGTCAAAGATGGCCTCAGTGCTGCTGTGGTTCTTGGCCACGACGGACTGCGTGAGGGCATGCAGCTTGACGGGGTCAAAGACGTAGTGCTGCGCCTTGATGCTCTCGAGCCAGCGAATGCCGATGGCGGCAAGCACGAAGAAGGAGGCGAGCACGGCGAGCGTGCGCGGCCAGCGCGAGGGCGCGCGCGAGGCGACGGGCCGCCGTAGCCCGACGCTCGAGGTGCGCGTGGCGGGCGCAGGAGACGCGCGTGGCTTGTGTGCCGGCATGCTTGCGATCGACGGTGGTGGGGGAGAGGCAAGCCTGGGGTGAGAAGGCGGTGGTCAGGCCATCAAGCCGCCGCCGGAAGAAGGCGCCGCGAGACCCGCGGAGCAACGCGTCGCGCGCGCTGCTCCCACGCTGTCTTTGGCGGGTCAGCGCGGCGCGCGCGGCGAGGCGGCCGCATCCGCATTCGCCACGGCGCCATCTTCTGCTCCTCATCCTCTCATCGTCTCGTCTGCTTCTTTGCCCCGCTCTTGCCCTCGTCTCTGCCTCTACCTCTCTTCTCCTACCTCCACCTCTGTCTTTGGCTCGCGCTGTGCGAGCTGGCAGCCAGCCATGGCGCCGCTCGCCTCGCCCACGCGCCGCTCCCTCGCCGCGGCTTCTCGCGCAGCAGTGGCCGGCGCCGGCGCAGCGCCGAGAGTGGCTGCCGGCGCCTCCTCCTCGCGCACTCGCCTGCGCACGCCACAGCGCACCGCTCCGGCTGGCTCAGCGGCGCATCAGCATGCCGCTGCCACGGCGCCGCCACCTGCGGCGCACGACGCATGGAGCCAGATGGCCCTCGACATGGGCGCCGTCTCGCTCGAGCCGATGTACGACGCCGACCTCGTGGCGCACAGCGCCAGGAGCGACTTCTACGCCCGTCCGCCGCCCGCGCCCGAGGCGATGCCGCCGCTCGTCTCGCTGCCGCAGCTGCGTCTCACGCCTCGGCCTCTCGCCTCCTCGCCGCCCACTGCCTCGTCTACGCGGTGGGACTGGCGCACGCGTGCCTTTTCCCGTCTCGGCGCCGTCCTTCCGGGACATGCACCAGTGCCGGTGCCGCCTGCGCCGCCACCACCTCGCCGCATCATGCCCACCGTGCGCCAGCTTGCCGGTCTCGACTCGCACGGCGCTGCCTCTGCCGCGCGGCAGGAGCTGCGCTCCGCAGCCGCCACATATGTCGCTGCGCAGCGGCACAAGCTGGCGCTCGAGCGCGCCGAGACGCAAGCTGCGCTGCTCGAGCGATCACGATGGCGCACGCCTCGGCTCGTCGCCGCCGGCTACGCCCTCGACGGCCTGCAAGCCTACTGGCGTGCTCAGCGGCGCTACGGCAAGCGCATCGCCGTCTTCACGCGGCCTGCGCGCGCCGCATTCCCGTGGACGCGGCTGCAGGCTGGCGACGGCTGCGTCGTGGTGGCGAGCGCGGCGCGCAGCAAGTGCTTTGCGGATGCGGATGCCCGCCTGGCTACGCAAGCGCCCGACGAGCCAGCATCGCCATTGCCGGCAGTCAGCGGGCTGCCAGCGACGGTGCTCTCCATCACGCCCGACCGTCTCACGCTAGCCTTCGATGGCGTCGCCGCGCTGGCGGACCTGGAGCGCGGCAACGAGACATGGTGCGTCGTGCAGGGCGAGAACACGCTCGTGCACGAACGCACAGACGCGGCACTGCAGTGCCTGGCACACGATGTGGCCAGTCAGGAAGGCGCGACAAGGGAACTGCCGAGCGGCGAGGAGGCCGAGGTGGTGCTGCGAGGCACGCGACTCGCCGATGTGCTGCTGGGCCTGGCGCCTGCGCAGGCGCCTGGGCTCTTCGAGCATGACATGCGCATTCGCAGCTGGGTTCAGCGACGTTTGCAGCCGGCAGGCACGCTTCGCGTCGAAGGCGACCCCGACCTGGGCCTCAATGAGAGCCAGGAAAGAGCCGTGGCGATGATGCTGGGCAATCGGCTGAGCTTGGTGCAAGGCGTGAGTTGCTCGGGCTCGTCCGTGGGCGCTAGACGTCCTGGCTGACGAGCTTTTGTTCTTCCTCTAAGCCGCCCGGAACAGGCAAGACGCGCACCATCGTCGCGGCGATGAAGCTGCTCAAGCTGCATTTCGAAGTGCCTCATCCGTGCGTCCTTTCCACTCCTCTAAGCGCCCGGTCGCTGACCCGCTTCCACTCTCAGCATCCTTCTCTGCGCCCACACAAACGTCGCAGTCGACAATCTCGCCCTCGGCGCGCAGCGCGCAGGGCTGCGCGTCGTGCGTGCCGGTCCCTCTGCGCGAGTGCGCGACGAGCTGCGAGGCTGTACCCTCGACGAACTCGTCGAGGCGCATCCCCAGAAACGCCAGCTCGATGAGCTACGCCTGGCACTTGCGCGCACGCGAGCTGAGCTTGCTGCGCTGGAGGCTGCGAAGCGCAAGGGCGAGCTGCAGGGTGGCAGGGGGGCGTGGAAGGGCGACTTCGAGGTGGACCAGTTCGACGGCGCCGCGCCCGTGAGCGATGCCACGGCCCCGCAACTCAAGGCTCGCATCGCAAAGCAGCACGGTCGCGCATTCATGCTCGAGCAGCAGATCCTCTCCTCGATCCTGCGCTCCGCCGATGTCATTTGCTGCACTGCACTCGCCTCCGCCTCGGCAGCACTGAGGGCGCTGGACTTTCCGCTCGTCTTCTTCGACGAAGGAAGCATGGCCACTGAAGCGGTGTCGCTCGTGCCTCTCATGAAGGGCTGTGCGCAGCTGGCCCTCATCGGCGATCACCGACAGCTGCCGCCCGTCGTCACGAGTGCCGCCGCACGTCGCGAAGGCCTGGCCCTCTCGCTCTTCGAGCGGCTGCTGCGTCGCGCAGACGTGCCGAGCACGATGCTGGACACGCAGCACCGCATGCATCCGCATCTCGCCGCCTTTCCAAATGCGGCCTTCTACAACGGCGCACTGCACGACGGAGCACCTACGCTTGCAATTCCGGCGCTTCAGTCGCGCTTCTTGCCAGCGGAGGCAGGCGGCAGGATGGCCTTCGTGACGCACTCTGCGCGCGAGACGCGCGCGGACAAGTCGCTCGTCAACCTTGGCGAGGCGGCGCTGCTGGCGCGCATCGTCGTCGATGTGCTCGTGCGCAACGCCGGCCTGCGAGGGCGCGACATTGGCGTCGTCGTGCCGTACGCTGCGCAGGTGCGCCTCTTGCGCCGCATGCTGCAGGAGCGCGAGAGCGAAGAGCACGCGGCGCTGCTGGCGCTCTTTGCAAAGGAAGAAGGCGGGCGAGGGCGTGCGGCGGAGGCAAAGGAAATCGAGGTGCACACCGTCGATGGCTTCGAGGGCCGCGAGAAGCGCCTCATCCTCTTTGGCTCCGTGCGCAACAGCAGCAGCAGCACTGCTGCCGACGCCGCAGGCTACGTCGGCTTTCTGGCGGACGTGCGCCGCCTCTGCGTGGCGCTCACGCGCGCCCAAGCGGCGCTCATCGTCGTCGGCCACCTGCCCACGTGGAGGGCGGCGCGTGTGGGCGCGGCGGGCGCGGAGCTGCTGGCGTCTGCTGGCGCGCCCGAGGATGCACAGCTCGGCTGCCAGATGCTGCGCCGCTTCGCCGACTGGGCGGAGCAGTGCGGCGCCGTCGTAGTGTGCGATCAAGAGACGGCGCCGGCGCTGCGTGACGATGCGCACGAGCTCGACTTGTTCGGCATGTAAGGTGCTCCGGACTCGCGCTCCCTGTTTGCCTTCCGCCCCGTCCCTTCTCCATCCGCATCGGCGATACCCCGCTCTGCTTGCTCCAGTTGGTGCTGCAGCAATGAGAATGCATGCAGCTTGCGCCCTTTGCCCGCTGCGTGATTCTCATCGAACGAGCCATCTAGGCGTGCCTCTGGCGAAGAGACGGAGGCTGGCCCCCGTCTGTTGTCGTGCGGCGCCGCGTCGGCAGTGACCGAAAGCGCCCGAGCCGCGAACAGACCATCAGCATTGCACCCGCTCCCGTCGGGCGGTGCAGAGAAGCAGCCCCGCTCTCTCTTTGCCCGGCTCCCATCCGTCCAACGACCATCGAGGCAGCGCGCGCAGACAGCAAAGCAGCAGGGCAGCACGGAGGAGGGGAGATCTCAAAAGTACATGAACATTGACGTCTGCACGTCGGGCGCCCATTCCCTTGCCCCGCCCCAAGCCACACTCTGCCTAGCAGACCAGCAGCATGTGGAAGCTCGAAGTGAGCGAGGGAAGCAAAGGCACAGGCAAAGCAAGGCCCTTTTTAGGCGACCATCGTCGACGCCGTGGCGGCCTCGTACTTGAACGTCGGCGCCAGCTTGCCGACGGTGCGGTAGTAGCGGGCGAGGCGGTGCACACGGGACTGGGGAGG